TTGTATAAGGGTGAGATTTGAAAAAGATTAATTTTGCTGTATGTCAACTATACGTCAGTCATTGTGACTTTAAAACTGTTTAAATACAAATGTAAAAGAAACCAGAAGCCTGGAGACGGGGCGCTGGCGGGGTCGCCGCCGGGCTGCGGGCGCAGCGGACCTCAGGATGCAAGCGGAGGAGAACAGAGCGCGGGCCTCAGCGCCACAGTGTCCGGGGGAGGAAAGGAGAGAGACTAATGACGCCTGTTTAATCACATCTTTAAAGACGCTCTCAATCTAAGCACATGTGGCCGCCTGGACTGGAAACTGAGTGAAGAGAGCGGATGTGCGCCTTCAAGGTCAGCGGGAACGGTGCTCGCGCGCGGAGCCCGGGCGCCACCGCAGAGCGCGGCCGCGGGGGAGGTCTGGGCGGCTCCGAGCTTGGACGCCTCCCGGACAGGGCCCTGGAAGGCGACTCCACCAGCGTTTCTGGGAAAAGCTTGTTGTGCTCACTCTCATTTCTGCCTGCAGCCAACGTCTGGAGTCTGCGCGGTGGGGAAGGTCCTCCCTTCGTGCTGGCAGGTCCTGGCACCTCCACAGCAGCACGCGGGCCCCGAGGGGGACGCAGACAGAGGAGTGGGGCAATTGCCTGCCCTAGGAAGCTGGGAAGCAGCTTGGGGGCGGGGGACGCAGGAGCACGGAGAGGGCCTCAGGGAGCCAGCGCCCTGCTTGCACTCGGGCCCCTCCGCAGGTCTGGGGGGCCGGTGGGACTTCCTGGGGGTCCCCTGTCACTCTGCAGTCAGGACTGAGGGGTCTCATGCAGCAGGGGAGGACACAGAGGCAGCCATGACTGGGCCTCTGAAAGAAAGACGACTGAATTGCAGAGAAGTGTCTGGCCTGGCTCCTGTCCGTGGCTTAGGAGAAACATTTTCTCCCCCTTGTTTGGGTGAGGAACGCCAGGGTAATGGAGCCTGCTATAGCCACACCCCGAGCCCGGTTCACAGACGCAGACCAGCAGCACTTGGTGTCGAGGGTGCCAGCAGCCGGCCGGGGGTGGGGGGTGTGTGGGACGGAAACGAGAGGAAGACCGTGCAGGCCCACTTGATACCCAACAAGCTGTGGTCAGGAGTGGGGGCCAGCCCTCTGCGAACTTCCTGAAGGACCCGAGGGGTCCTGCTGAAGGACCAGGAGCAGGTGGGCAGACAGCAGGTCACAGACCCTCCAAGGGCATGAGTTAGTGGGAGCCCAGCCAGCCAGACCTTCTGCGGGTGGCGCCTGGAGGAGGGGTGCATGCGGAGATGCCTGTGTGTGACACCGAAATGCCGTTTCATCCAGACTGTCATTACTGCAGGGGTTCAGAGACGGGTGACATCCGTGTGTCCTGAGCAGGGCCTCCCAGAGACAGAGAGGCTGGAGTTCAAGTGCCAGCCTAGAAAGTGTCTTCCAAAGAGCTGTCGGAGACCCTGCCCCTGCGTGGGAAGGCACCTTCTGCGTGCATTTTCTCTCTCTCTCTCTCTCTCCCTTTCTCTCTCTCATTCTCTCTCAGAGGGAATGCTGACTCTCCTCAGTGTCCAGATGTAACATGGCTTGCATACAGTAGACACTTAATACATGTCTGTTAAATTAGTGTTTCAGTAAATGAATGATGTCTTAAATATTTTAAAATAATGCATGGTTTCAGAGTTTTAAATGCCAGATGAGTCTTAGAAGAACTCTCCATAGATTCATATTGTATTATATTCTATTATGACGAACACGTGTTGAATCATCTTGAAAAACAGTTTTAATTTTTTCTTTGTACTTCCATAGAATTTTGGAGTCAAAAATGCTCAGAGAGACCCCTTCTAGCCTAAAGTTCCACTCAATTAAAAACACTGAAAGAGGCGGTAGTCATGTAGACTGTATTTGAAATGCGGTTTGGACATTATGAACTGAATAATGCCCAGCCCCACCCAACCGGTCTCTTACTCCTGCTCTAGAAGCTGAAGATTCAAAATTCGATTCCCCTTGCAATCAGCAAAGGTCGTGAATCACTGGGCCAGAGAGGGGGATGTGGAAGGAAGGAATTCTGGGAAATCTTTTAGGATGCTGATTATTCTTTTGAAGGGCGAACTGGCCTTCCGGCTGTCTTCCTCCAGCTCACAGCACCTGTGCTAGCCAGCCCAAGTCCCAGTTGTTAATCTCCTGCAGAGTACCGATGATGTCATTGAAACCCACGACCTTCATTCACGATGAAGGGGAAAGTCGAGGTGCTGCGGCACAGTCCTCTAATTAGGACCGTGGCGGAAGGACCCGCTTAGAATGATAAGGTGTTTGAAACAGGCAGGGACGAAATAAAGGTTTGAAAAGTGCGTGGAAAGGAATAACAGGGGATACTTGGGTGCAAAATGGTAGGAAAGGGTGAGAGTAAAGGAGGAAAAAAAAAACTAGAAAAGAAGAAGAGAGACTCAGCAGGCGAACCCCAAGAGCGCCGGGCAGTCTGCCCAGGACGGTTCGCGTCCCCCGCGGCTCCCCCCAGCCCTGCAGCTGCAGTCGGTGGCGGGGCTGGGCGCTGTTGCTTCCTTGACCAGGGTGAGGCCTTTCCACTCTCGCCTTCGGAGTACCACGCGGGACTGTGGTCTCTAAATGAGTTAATTTGTGCCGCACAGACTCCGTGGAAAGATAGACAAAAACCACACAGCTGAGCAGAGTGGGGGCAGACCATGCCCGAGGGTGTTTCAACGCTGCGTTTGTTAGTTCGAGCCGGCGTGCCCAGGCCAGTACCAGCTGGAGCTCCCGCATGGAAGGACCCAGCTGCCTTTGCCTGCGAAGTGCGGGCCATCTGGGGGCCCGAGGACACTGGTGCTGGCCCTGTCCTTCCTGCCCTCAGGGAGGAACCGGACCGTCGTCACCGGAATCTGCACAGGCCAGGGACCCTGCACGCTGATGTAAGACTCAGGTCTCAGGGTGGGAGGGCTCCATGATTCCGCGCCAGTCTGCTCAGAGGTTTAATTTCAGGGACTAAGAAGCCCTTGAAAATCTGCAGAGCATTGAAGTCAACTTAGTATAAACCCAGGATTTCTATACATTTGGAGCAAGTCCAGGGGTTCTCCTTTTCCCTCCCAAGGGTAGAACCTTCCCACATCCGGAAAGGTACACGTCGTCAAGTTCATTCTGTTCGCTCTCAATACAGCCAGCTCCGGCTCGCTCACGCTTTCTGTCTGCAGGGTCTGTCATCCCCCGTGATTCTCCTTTCAACTTACCTGTGCCTTTGAATTTGAAGTCTGCTCTTTTAAGGGTTTACGGGTGTGACGATCTCTGCCTTTCTGTTCGAGTGCGTAGGCCATTGCCCTTCAAGGTCATTACAGGCGTGGTTACATCTGCCACACTGCTGTTCGTTTGCCACACAGCTCCCGTCCTGTTCCTCTGTGCGCCCCCCCCCCCACCGCCTTAGAGACTCGGTTGTGTGAGTGCTTGCAGTGTAACAGTGCCACGTCTCGTTTCTGGTAGAGCAAATTCCTTGTTTTTCCAGAACTGTTAGTAAAATAACCCACTGGTTTTGCATGATGAATGGGGCTGCCACTGCTATTGCACTCAGTAAGGTTATTTCCCCCCTTTCCCCACCACTGCTGCCCTCCGCCCCGCCCCACTCCTGCCCGAGGAAGAGGGTAAAGGACGGTTTAACAGCCGGACTGTGGGCGATTCTGGTGCGGAATGTGCACGCATGTGCAGTGGCTGTTAACTTAGAACGTGGGAGTGGGTGAATTTTCTCCCTGTTGTGACCTTCAGAGTAAGGGAAAGAATTTGATGGCTACTACCCTCTAACTAAAGGAAAATTAAGAAATATAATGTGAAAAATTTTGGAAGGACAGGGTACCATATGCTTTGTGATTGCAAGTATGTCAAAACAGAAGTATATAAACATAAACATAAACATGTATGTCCAGAGAAAAGACAATTTAATATCAGCCATTTCTGGTACTGATATAATGACTATTTGAATTACTTTTTCGTCTGTGTTTTTCAAATGTGCTACCATGTGTATATATCCCTTTTACCCTAAATACATTTTTGCCTTATTTAAAAATTGATATTTTAAGAACAATCAAATATTGAATACTGTAAGTCTCCTACAGAATAAAATAGAAGTCCCCTCCAATGTTCTTCATTAATAACCACGTCTGCGTGGTGCCTATTCTCCCTGACATCTGCCTGAGATCATCACGTTAGTTTTGTCATCAGAGTGAACAAAGGCACCACAGAGGATAGGAAAGCAAATGTTGTGTCTGCGCCCCAGGCTTAACAGATAATAACAACTCCTGATGCCCACCTTCTATTTTAGAGCGAGCTCAGTCAGGTCCTCTGTGCCCCCCCCCCCCCACTGCGTTCTCCTCTGGGCAAGGGGCGAAGTGTGGAGACACCTCCTCGTCTCCCAGTCGGAAGGAAAAGACAGGGCCCCAGGGACAAGTCCAGACACAAAGTAGTCACAGGACTTCACAAATAAACACCGTCTTCGCGACTCAGTCTGTTCCTCCTGTGAAAGTACCCCCTGACTCACCGGGCCGCATACTTTGAGGGTGAAGTAGCTCACAAGACAAACATGTGTCATTCCTGCTACAGCTTCTTCCTGTGTTTTTCCGAGCCCTTGCATATTAAATACTTTTGTTTCTTTAAACTGTAGACTGAATAAATAAAATAGCTTTCTTTCTTTTTTTTTTATGTCTTAATGTTGTCTTGTTTCACACCACGTGGTTCTATGTGCTATTCTGCGGCAGAAAGTTGGTCATTGAAACATCTCATCAGGAGAAGACATGAAGGTAGTAATATGGGTTCCGTGGGTTTTGTCTGGTGTTTGCAAAAGACTAATCACATTGTTATATTGTGCACAGGAAACGCTACAGACAGACCTAATGTGCTTTTCTTTTTTTCTTTTGGAGCATTAAAGTGACAACCTACTGAGGGGCTAAAAAAAAAGCTTGGAGCTTTGAAAGAAACATTAGTCTGGGATCAAATCCGCGTACTTAACAATCACAGCCGTCACATTCTCCTTTGAGTCACTTTTTTATTCAACGTAACAGGCAGGATGCTCGTTTACTGGACGCAAGACACACAGCTGATGCACAAGATAAGACGGTTGCACAGAATGCCGCCCAGATGACCTCACCCCTGCGCACAGGATGCCCGGCGCGCGGCACATTCAGAGCATTCTTTTGCTCGCTCAGCTCTTTCTAATTTTATCAGTTTAAGTCACTGTTACCCAAAAATGGATTTCTTTTTTTAAAAAAGTGGGTTTAAATTAGGTACCTAATAAATTAGTAGAGTTAGCCGAGGTCATGCCTTTTTTGTTCTTGAATTTGACCAAAGCATCTTCTAAGGAGTTTATCCAGTGAGAAGTCTGGCAGAATGGCGCTTACCCCTACACTCTGCGTGAGTTTATTCCGAGGTAAAGAAAAAACAAGCAATGCCTTGGACTTTGTGTTAGACCATGCAGGCAGGTTTATTGGCGTGAATGTGATATGCGTGGTTCAGGGCGGCAGTTATTATACACAATTGTCCTCTCTCTCATAAAGTGGTCACAGTTCTTTACCCTGTCCGCGAACAACTCTACAGCCGCGCAGCAGTCACACACAGCGTGCGGTCCTCCCTCCGGACCAGCGCTCCTAACCTGGGCCGCGCGGCGGGCCGTCGCGTCCTGAACGCGGGCGGGGGGGTCTCAGACACACACACGCTAAGGATCGGGGCGCCCCGTGTGGCCTGGCTCCAGTGCGAAGAAGGGCTGACCAGAGGCTGCTCCGAACCCCTGCTCTGGCGCCAGCCCGCGGTGGGTCAGCTCCAGGCAGCTAGCCCGGGCGGGCGAGCGGGCAGCGAAGACTGTCCCCGTCCCCCCCCGCCCCGCCCCCGTCCTCACTTACGCCGCGCTCGGCCTGTGAAAAGGCGAAAAGTGGACCCGACAGTGCCGGGGACAGGACCGCTGTGGCCCGGGGGAGCGGGCAGCACATTTAGTAGTGAGGATGGGTGCACACAAGGTCAATAGCTTCATCTCCCCTCCCCCACCCCACCCCGCCTCTCATTCTTCCTCCCGAGACGCGGCACACCCCAGGGGGCCGACAGCAACGCTGCCACCCGGCTCTGGGCCCGGGGCGCTGAGATCTCCTGGAAAGTCACCGCCGTGTCCCGTGTGTGGTGGCTCCCGTCTGCTCGCCCGCTCGTGGAGGAGAGAAGCGATGACACCCTCACCTCCCCCAGCCAATCCCTCCACGTCTGGCAAACGGGGTGCGCACAGGTGGTGCCCGCAGGCCGCCTGCGCCGTTCGGAAGGTCCCCGCCCACGTGCGGAGGCCGGGCTGCAGTGAGACGCTCTGCTTCGCGTGCGTGAGTCTCGGTCTGCGGCCGAAAGGCCCCTGGAGTCCCGACCCAGTCTTCTTCCAGAAAGACGTGACTTGAAATACAGTAAAATCACACACGATCGCAGTGACAGTGCCACCAGCACCTCGTGTATTGCCGTGACTTCCATGGTGTCAGGTAAAGGGTTTCCAAGTGTCCGAAAAGAGCAGGCTGCCACTCAGGGTGCTGCAGGGGCGCAAGGCTTAGAACGGCCTGGCCCAGGGAGGCCCGAATCCGCACAGAGCGTCCCACCGCGCCGCTCACTGGCGCGGAGGGCCCGCTGCCCAGGGCGCAGGGCGCCGACGTGCCCCCGCCTGTGCTGGAGGGAAATAGGAGGGAGCCTCGTGTGAGTCCGACCCTCAGCAGGGACGGGTGAAAGGATCTGGTGTATTTTTTAAAAGAAAAAAAAATCAAAGCTGATCTCGCCGCAGGGAGTCCAACGTTGGAAGGGAAAGTCACCCTTGCGTATTTTTTTGGAACGGTAAAAGCTCAGCAAGAGGTGCGCATGCCCCCCATCTGGTGGGGGCTGACCTGGGCACCAGTGGGTTCAGGAGCTCAGCCCGCGGCTCGCCAGGGGCCGAAGGCTCCGTCCCCATCCGTGAGGAAGGGCACCTGCTGGGCCCAGATGTTGGGGGCACCGCGGGGCTGGGCTTGGCCCACACATGCCCCCACTTCCTCGAGGCTGGTGTGAAAGGCTGTTACGGGGAATTTCTAAAGGCAAGGGTGACTTTTAACGTGAGGACCAAGGAGACTGACTTGTTCACAAGGTTCCAATGTTAGACGTCAACTCCGTTTTTCTTGCTCTCCAGAAGACCCGGCGGCCTTGAGCCTTGGGCGACGCACCGCTGAGGTAACGCTGAGCCCCGCCGTGGTTTCAGAAGTTGTGTGTCAAAGGCACTCGGCGACAGCAGTCTGATTGGAGGGGCTGCCCAGTGGACTCACCCTGAGGCTGTGTTCACATTGAAAAGTCTCCTGTGCACAGTCACGTCGTTTTAGTTAAAAACGGCACCGCTGCGAGGACTTGAAAGCACCTTCTCCATCTGGGGGACGGTGATTTCCATGGGTGGGGATGCGACTGTGGGGTGCTGACGGGGACCCGTGGGCGGGCTGCACCCCGCCAGCCCCCACACTGTGGCACGGTTGCTGACAGTACCCCACGATGGTCTGCCTCGTCAGGGTGGCCCACCTCTGAAGCACGCTGCACTGCGTCCCCACTAGCTCACACCGCGTCACCGCCGTGGAGGCTCTCAGAAGCCACGCAGTCTCTGCAGCCCACGGAGAGAGCATCTGTGTCCGACGGGGTTCTCCAGCCATCTTCTGGGAAACCTCTCCTGGGGAGAAGACGACTGGAGGGGGGCCTCAGACGTGCTCAAAACCAACAAAGGTGCCCAGGTGATATTTGTTAGAAAGGGATTGGCCAGACGCCTTTTTATTTGAGCATTAATGTGGCTGCTGCCCTAGCCATGCTCCCGCCCGGGGCCTTTCCTAGTTTTCTCAGGGCTGTGCAAAGCCAGGCGGTTAATTCATGCAAAGCACGCCACGAGGCGTGAGTGGGATGGTCCTGCGTGATGCACAGGCGTGGAGAGCGGCGGGCGGCCATGCCCTCACGCTGTAGGCTGTGGCCCTTGGGGAGGCGGTGGGGGTGTGCCCAGAGGGACTGTGGCCAGGGCGCCTCACAGCCTCTGCTACAGTCGGTGTCACACAAGCACTGGGCAGCCACCTTGGCTTTGGTACGAGGGTTTGTTTCCCCAGGGAGCCTAGACACACATCGGTTTTAGAACAGAAGGACAGGGCACATACATGCATTTCTAGGTAAAATCACTACGGTTGAGTAAGCATCACATTTTGTATCTCTCTCTACAGTTTCATTTCGAGAACATTGATGACATAGAGAAAACAGCCGAAGAGGGAATTGTCCATGCACCTTGTGCTCAGAGAAAATAATCGAACAGACCGAATCAACTGGATCACTGAAGTTCAAGCCGAATCAGAGAAGTTAAACACATTTACAGAGAAGGACCTTCCCCAGCACTGCTCGCAGGGCCTGGCTTCCTGGGGCGGGGAGGCGGCCTCTGGGAGGTGCTGAGTCTGGTCTCGCCGCCCGCCTCGGCGGGCTCCCTGCCCGCCTCGCCCTCCTCCTGCGAGTCCGCGCCGACTTGTTACTGTTAAAGCAGGGCCGTGCCTTCAGAGATTAAAGCTGGAGAATACAGAACTGTGTGGTGTTGCATCTGCGGGCTGGAGACCAGCATGTTGAGCAATCATTTGACATAATAATCATACAGTGTGTTTGCATGTGTATATATGTACAGCACGTTACATCTCTGTATCAGTTTATCACTGTCACGTAATCGCAGTGACTGCTGAAGCTGGTTCATGCTCCTTCATGAGAGCTGGCATACATTTTCAGGGACTTTGCAAGCTGGTGAGGTCTGCGTTAATAGCTTGATAATGGCCTTGGTGAGGCTGTTTAGGACATGGAAATTGGATAATGACGCAAATCAGGAATTTTTTCCCTTTGGAGAGAGAGTTAAATAATTTACCGATACACCATTGGAGGCTGGGTGGGGAGAAGGCCTTCATACATAGTTCAGTGCACAGGGTAAGCGATGATCAATTTTTTAAATACCAAAGTTTAATAAAAGCACTTTGCAATTTAATTTAGCCAATAAATTAATAGGCTTAAATTTCACTTACTTATTAAATACTTTAAACTGATAAAGTTTACTATATTTCTTAATCATTGATTGTTTTAGAACATCTGTACAAAGATAATTTGTGACATCTGTTGCCGTATCTTTTTTAATCAAAGCCTCTGTATATATGCGTTTGAGCTGCAGAACTCTATGCTCGAGTGAAACGTTAATGAAAATGAAAACTATATGCGAAGTGGGTGAATCAAAATTTTCTTCTTGGTGTAGCTTTTCTGTGTTTAGGTTTTGTAAACTCTTATTGAGGTATTTTGCGTTACATTTGTGTCTCCGTGTGCGCGCGCGCGCGTAATTATATGCACAGACACGCACACGCAGACACACGCATGCGCCTCAACAAATTATCGTGTTGGGGGAGGGGGGTCTCGGGTGAATGACGCGTCCTACTGAGAACCGGCAACGGCTCGCGCGGAAAGCTCTGCCGGGTTCATAAGCAGCCATCCGACCTGGCCCAACAGTCCTGCCCTCCTTTCTAGAAGGTTCGCGCCACCATCGTTCCCACTCCCCCTCGTGCTAACATCGCGTGTACGGGCGCACGCCCCTGGCTCGGCGCTGCTTCACCGAGAGTCGCAGGTGCCGCGCGCGCACGCGCGCGCGGGAGTTTGGTCTCGCCAGTCCGTTCCCTTCTGAGGACGCGCTGGGATCGCAGCAGGGCTGCCCCGCCCGCTGCGCGCGGGATCGTGCCCCCCGGTGACCCCGCAGATGGGAGAGGCCCGGGTTCTGGTGAACAAAGAAAGTCTTGTTGGGCGGAAAGGTGATTTCTGCACCCGGCGATAGGCGGCAGGAATGAAGGAGGTTCCAAAGCCGACTGTTCTGCACAGTGACCTCCCAGCGGGAGGAAACCGCAGCCCTGGGGACATCGGCCTTTCTGCCCTTCTAGCTGCCCCGGGGGCACAGCCTTGACCTCCAGGAGCTCAGAGGTCGGCGCGGGTGGTCGTCAGGTAAGACTGTCCTCAGATAATCCCTTGGTTAAAAAAATTAAATCCAGGTCATTGGATTTCTTCACGGATTTGCTGCTGCTTTTTGAGAAGAGCAGGCAGAGCCCAGGCCGCTGTGGGTAGTGACAGGTCTGGGCTGGTGACGGCCGTGGGCCGGAGAGGGGGCGCCGTTGGGGAAGCGCCAGCAAACCGCGCGGCAGGAGTTCTCCAGCGTGGCTCCTGCGCGCTCGCTGCTGTTTTCCTAAGCCGCGCAGCAACCCGGGGGCCGACGCCGCCGCAGCGGGATCCCGTGCACCGCAGCGCTCTCTCCCAGAACGAGGAGTCACGCACCCAGGCGTGAGGACGTCTCTCTGCGGGCGCGAGGTCCCGCACCTGGAACTGCGCAACACCCGTGCCTGCAGGTCTGTGGCCACGCGGGCGTGCCACGCTCAGCAAGCGGCGGCCCCCTGGTGAAACGCCGTGCTGAAAGGGAGCCCCGCCTTTCCGTGAACATGAGAGGGCTGGCAGAAGGGATCAGCTTCCGAAATCCGAGACAGACGAACGCGCACGGCTGGCTGGAGGGCTGGCATGGACCGTGTACCAAGGAGCTGAGGGAACTCCTACTCCTTCGGGCACCCAGGGGGGCCCCCTGAAGCTCAGAAGCTGTGCAGCAGGGAGGCCTGCGGCGGTCAGCGGCGCAGGCTGCGGCGTGGCGCTCAGAGTCCGTCTCAGCGCGACCCGCGCACAATGGCCTTCCCTAACCAGTCACTGGTTCGGCACGGAGCTGCTCTCAGTGGTTGTTTTTTGTTTTTGTTTTTGTTTTTGTTTTTGTTTTTCAGTATGAAACAATCTTGAGCTTTAGAGCTCCATATCAAAACTAAGCATGTTTTGTAAAAGCTTATATTAGTCCATTCAGTGCACTTGCTTTTAAATAGATCTATCTTGGTTTTCCATCACAGATAGAATTTCAGCTCAATGACACTATTTTCCAAACACTTTGGAAAGAACACCGTGCGAGGACTGAATCCGGCACAAAGACACTGAATGTGTCCTCTGTGATTTCACTTTATTTCGGTCCGTAGGCAGACTCTGCCTGGGGAACTTTTCTCATTGGAATTGGGGGGAGTGATCCTTCGCTCAGCACTTACTGTACAAATGTTAATGTCGGGTTGAACGTATATTCATCAGGAATCGACAGAAAAAGCTTCGTTTATATTGTTCTGAATGTAAATGTCTCAATGATAAAAATCTTCTCATGCACTCCTTCCTTAAATACTCTGAATGGTGATTTAATATATAAACTCATCTGTAAAGGTTATTCTTCATCCATAAAACACTGTAATTTTGCTTCAGTACTCAACAAAAGTGAGCGACTATTTAAAAATAGTTTTCATCATTTTATAGAAGGTAAATGGATCTTCCTTGTTTTTGGGTCTTCCTTGATCTGTCATTCTCCAAGTGATGAACCCTGGTGGGTCACATATATTTATGTGACTATGTCTTTAATTACATTTATAAATTTCTTGTCACATATTTGAGGCAAACCTGAGGATAAATCATTGAATAATTATTTTTTTCTCTTGCGAAATACTTCATTTCTCCATTTTCTTTTTTAGTGGTCTTTTGAAGAATCCAACCTGTTGAGAGAATACCAAACGTAATGCAATTACTTACTTGAATTTAAGTGGCACATTCTAATCTCTTTTATTAGAAATTACTTTAACCATATGTTAGTACTTCTGGGCATACAAATAATTAACATAATTAAAAGGTTTTGTTTTCCTTGACCTAATAAGAAAAGCTGAATGTCAAGAAATGACATTTATCAAATTGCTGTTTCATTGTTAACCTTTTCATTGGTTAAATATTTTATCTCCTCGTAAAACTGGCGCATATAATAAATGAACCTAGAGGATTCTGGGAGAATTTGGAGACACAGACAAACTGCATGCAGTTAGCTGGCACTGTCTGCGCTCTGTGCTCATCTTTCATCCAGGGGTGCGGCAGAGAAACTGCCCCCAAGGGACTGATGGTCGTACATTGAGGTCGTTTGAGCTGCTGGGGAAGGTGGCAGGCGCCTGCAGCTACGGGTGGGGTGGGGGTAGTGGTGGAGGGGTGGAGGTGGAGACTTCTGAGCCAGCCGGCCTAACTTTAAACGCGTCAGAGTCCTGTGTCTGTGGGCCTGGTGGGAGGAGCCCCCCGGAAAACAGCCCGCCTCACCGGATATGAAAAGGAAGTCACTGAAAACAGGACAAGTTTCACACAGCGGTGAATGTGTATATTTTTCGTTATCCTTTGGGGCATCACAAAGGACAATTGTTTTACTTATTCATTTCCTCTTATGCAGAATAATAAAAATAAGTGTAGGCGCTGGAGAGGACCTTTGTAATGATCTAATCTAAAATGGGTATTTAAAAAAAATTAAGGTTCCTAGAGAAGGTTCGTAGTTTTTTCTTAAATAGATACATATATATTTTTAAATTAATTGAGTGGATTACAGTGGCTCAAGCAAAGACAATGAGTTAATTCTTTGAAAGTGAGGTATCTTCACATTGTTTTAATCATACACCCACAGTCAATTATGCAAGGGAATTAAATCTTTTTAAAAATGATGAACAATTGAGGGCTGAGAGGAGGAGGTAAATGGTAAAAAAAGATGCAGTGTGAAGTTAGGGCAGTTTCACTCGGAGTCCGGCCGGTGGTAAGTGGGGAGAGTGTTGTGGGAACGGAAAGAACGAACACGAGAAAACGATACATTTATATTGCTTTGAACGCAGATCCCCTAGATGGCTCGGTCTTCCCATTGAGCCAGGCAGGAGTGCGGCCAGCTCACCAGGCCCGGAACCCGAGCCTGCGCGCCCAGGTGGGGAGAAGTCAGACGAGGCTCTCCCGGGCAGGTGCGGAGTTACGAAACTTCTCCTTCCTGCCCCCGCCCCGCCCCGCCCCGCCCCAGCTCTTGATCCGTTCCCTTTCCCAAGTCTTGGCTCCTTTGCACCGCCCTTGGCTTTCACACTGCATGCACTATTGTACAAGGGAACCTCTGTTATCTAAACTTTCCCACCCACCCATTCTGTTTGCGGTAGGTTTCCAGCGGAAGTTGGGTAATCAGGGTGGACGGTAGGAGAATAAAGTTTATAGCTTCAAAGTGGGTGGGGCCAGTGCTAGCCAAAAGTTGAAACAAGTTTGTTTTCAGCTCCCCGCCTTCCTTGTAGCTTTCACTTTCCTCCTCTTTCTTCTCCTATTTACTTAATGACTATATTTATACTCCCAGAATTCAAAACCCTATAGGGAAGTTTTCATTAAAAACTTTCGGGCAGAGAGTACATGCCTAATGGCAATGATGCGTAACGAACGTCGGATGAATACACCTGTACTCATGTCAACGAGACTAAGAAAGTCCCCCACCCACACCCGCCGCCCCCCAGGATATGACACTGAATGAGGACTCCAGGGTGGTGGTAAGGATCAGTGAGGAAACCCTCAGCACCGACTTCAGGCACCAGGGAGAGACCGGGTGCAGCCAGGGGAATGGTCTGCCCTCTCAGGGCTCCTGCTCCGGCTGAGTCTCACCCTGTGCTCCTCTGGAGAAGCTCAAAGCAGCTCCTGGCATGCAGTAAGCACTCAATAAGTGCTAGTTCCCTGCCCTTGTACCAGGGGTGGCTGTTCTGACAGCTGCGCCTCCCCCCACCCCCACCCCAAGGGGCTGGACTGACTCTCCCGGCCGGTTGGAGGGTCCGAAGGCGGCTAAGGGACTGTCCTTTGGTCCAAAGTGATCCAGGAAGCATCAGACTGCGTTTTTACATATTTCCTTCTTTAGAATGATGATTAAAAAAACAGGTGGATGAAACTCATGTATCTGTTTTAAGCAGAGGTACGTGGTCGGAGAGAACCTATTGGAACATCAGCCCTGGCTTCCTCTCCTCCTCCTGAAACCACACGGGCCATGCAGTGCTCACAGCCGCAGAGGCCGCGGGGAGAAAGCAAGAGTGAGACAGACGCCTTCTCCCTTCGAGGTGCCTGTGGAGGCAGGGAGCGCCTTCTGCAGGTCAAGTGTAACCCTGACAACGACGCTGAGCCGGGCCTCGGGCACCACGGTGTGGCCAAGCCGGGTATTACAGACAGAGCGCCGGTCCCTGTGCAGCAGGACTGAGCTGGAGTCTGGGGCGAGGATTCCCTCTCGGAGGCTTTGCTGGGGCAAGGCCATGGACTCCACTTTCTGACCTAAACACGGACTGACCTACATCTGTGGTGTGGCTCTGTTCCTCTTCGCCTCCGAGAGCCACCCACCCAGAGAGGGATGACGATCGGAACCGTTGGTAATTGGATGAGAGAAATGGGTTACTTGAACTGTTTGATAAAAAGACAGCTCTGTGGCTCAGGTGGCAGAGAAGTGAATACGGAGGGGAGGGGCTGGGGGACCCGGGGAGAGCGGTTGGGTGGGGTGGGGTGTGGAGCGGTGCAGACTGCAGCCACGGGACAGTCACAGGGGAAGAGTACGGCACAGGAAACAGAGGCAATGGTACTGCGGCAACCGTGTAGGGGCCGGGGCGCTACAAGTACTGGGGGAACACTCTGTAAAGTATGTGCTTATGTGATCGCTACGCTGCACACCCGAAACCGATACAAAGTGATGTTGGGATGGAAAAAGAAAACTGAATATGGACCCACAATCTGTATTCATAATACAGTTTAGCTATTCAACAAAATAATCGGTGAAATATAGGGTGATGGCACGCTAGAATAAATGCCAATGTGATGTTAATTGGAAAAACATTAAATTCAACACTTCTATAGATTTTATTCTCTATCAAATTTTCCTAAAAACTATCGTCTCCATTCTGCTTAATTTAGAAATGATAGAGTTAAAAAAATCTGCCTCCCTCGGTGTAAGCAAAACATCTAGGTAAACGTAGGGTTCTACCCAAGAAAAAACAAATGTCACTCAGGTTTAGAAGAGAACTTGAACTAGGACTCTGTGAACTTGTAAGATTTTCCTTTCATCAACTAATCAATAACATTCTCATCTCTCATCCCGGCACAACACCGTTGCATAAACTGTGGTATATTTGTTTACACATTAAATAACTGTTTGACTTTTAAGATGCAGAGAAATACATGATTAGAATAAGGCTTATCTTAACCATGACTCTATTGCTCTCAATTCTTAAATTTGACTTAGAAATCTATTCTCTTTTTCTACATAAGAGATTTTACATTCTGCTCTGCTTGTAAAGGAATGTATACTTAATTTAAAAGTTCCAGTGTTACAGGCATAACATGAATGTTCCCTGTAATTACAGCCCCCTATAGAGACCCTGCATGATTTGTGGATGTACCGATTTTGTTTTTCTCTTGCAAAATGGGATCAAGTAGGGCACGGTGGTGGGGATAGACACGTTCCTCTCTTCTTTTGTCTCGGCCGTGATTGCACTGCTTTTCACTGCTGTGCGACCCTGCGTTCCCCAGCACGGATAAACCGCAGTTTATTTTACCAGCGGCCGCTGGCAGCTGAGCTAGGGAGTCAGAGGACGGCGGGCGCTCACCTTCCAGAGAGCCAGGATGAGCAGCATCAGCAGCAGCAAGCCGGCGAAGGCACTCAGCAGGATCACCCACAGGGGCACCCTGCCCGGCAGCGCGTCTTTGGAAATCTGAATCGCGAGCTGGAAGCGATGGGACACGACCGTTAACGCTGGTCTCCACCAGTCAGAACGCCCCCGCGCCGAGCGCTCCCACGCCACGGCGTCCTCCCGAACGGCCTACTTCCCCTCATTGCTCCACACGGAGGAAACGCTGTGTACATGGAAAGACCCCCTTCCTTTATCCTAAATCTCTAACCGTGTCAGGTTACCAGAAGGACAGTCCTACCCTTCAGAAATGCACAGAGTAGCAGTACGCTGTCTCCGAACCGGAAGGCGCACAGGTAAAGGGGGGTGCGATCCAGGGAGAACCAGGATTTGATCTAAAGATGTGCTCATGGGCTTTGGTGCGCCATCACAACAGCGTAAGTCGAGGCCACGGGCTTTGGACATAAAGACCTGAATAGGCCTTTTTATTTTAATTATGGTTCTCCCGTGCTTTATAGGTGTCTGTTTTTGCAAGTGGAGGCACACTGTTCATACGGTGGAACGCACACGTCTCCAGGGCACACGTAGCTGCGTTTTTGCAGACCCTTCGCTGCGGTGCGCCTTCTGTGGCACCACCTCGCCCCGCCCCGCGACTCAGCGGGAGCCGGGGTCTGGGCGCGGGCGCCGGCCGAGTGAGACTGTGAAAGGGCCGCTGCCAGCGTTCAGCTGCTCAGGCTCTGTCGGCGCGGCACCCGTCCGCTCTGGGTCCCATCCCTTAGGCTTCCCAGGGGAGAGTAGTAATTCGGGGCGGATACCCATGACGGACAGCTCGAGCATCAGCCTCCAGCAGGAAGCATCTCAGTTCCTGGGCCGGACAGAAGTGGGCAGTGAGAGAGGAAACCGGCGGGGGAGGAGTCTGCGTGGCCGGACCCCCGGGCACACCCCGCATGCCCGGATTCCCCAGGCAGGGCCCTGCTGACGCACCCAGCACAGAGCAGGCGGGGGTGCCGGCCCTTCCCGGGGCTCCCTGAGCTTACGGATCGGCGGTCTGGGCGGGACGGTGACGTCTCTAGGTCACACCACTACAAAGGGACCACTCTGAGTAATTTTAACATTTCCGGTATAATTTTTCTTTAGGATACAACGGAGAGTAAATGGAGCCACGGGGAATTTAAAACTAACATTTAGGGGAAATAAAGCTAATCATAAAAATGTTTAACAAAACATCTTTAGAAATCAAATGTACTCTTTTCCAATGTATTGATAATACATACTCACAGGTTTTGGTGCATACTGGTGAAATTTTGGCTTCTCCACGTGTGGGACAAGTTTGCATTTATCAGGCTAAGCGCTTTTTATAAAGTAGGTACACATACACCTATATTCTCTGTGTTACATGCATATATCTTAACTTTAAAGGTGATCAGAGGTCATTGACATTATCATTATGTACAATAAGTAATAATTTAAGTTAAGAAATTCTAAAACAACATCTGAATGTTAGGTAGCTCCCAAATAGAATTTTATGACTCGTAACACCCACACGGGCTATTTAAACTCGTCCATGATATGAGGGAAATTGTGATGAAGTGTCTCCATTAAGGGCAAATACTTGGGCCTTATTTTATAGCAAGACAAGAGGGAAAACGTCTCAAACCATTTTTATTTTTACCAAGGACTCAAGCATGAGTTTATATTAAGGAGTAACACTTCTTCTTGTTTCCAATTTCCCAATGACTAAATGGAAAAAAAAAAACTTTTAGAAAACTGACGTCTCCCCACACAGTATAAACAACACTTTCTGTCTTCTTCAGCCGTCAACTGCATTTTAAAATGTCACTTTTCAGGTGGAAATTGCAAGTGCATTATTTGTTATCGCGGTGAGAGCAAAAACATCAATTCACCGTGTTCGTTAGCAGCAACGAAGTCAAACGTGGCATGTGAAGTGTAAACATCACGGCTGCCCCGAATTTCACTCAAAGAAGAAGGAGCCAGAAACTGTATCTCAAACTCATCTAGTGTCATCTGCAGCGAACAGTGTCTGTCGCCTACCGAGAGCGGCACTAGTCACTGTGCTGGCGGCCGAGCAAGGACAAAACACTATGCCACCAAACTGGGAGTGAGACGGACAGTGAGTTCAGAGCCCGGAGCTGCACTTGCCTGTCGGTTCTGGTTGCCAGGGCTCAGCACCAGGGACGAGTTCTCGCTCCGAAGCTCCGCCCTCACTGTAAGGTTCAGGCTGGAAAAGCGCGTCTGGAAAGCAAACGGGATTTTCATGTTCCATGTCTTATGCCAACCACGGTGAAGAGCTAGTCGTGTGTGAGTGGTATATTTTTTTGGTGCAACTTCCTGTAGGTTTGACGACATCTCCAAATAACAAACATTTTAGTGACGTGTCCCGGGGTGACGTTGGTTAATAAAACTAGACGGGTTTCAAGGGCGCAAGTCTACGATGCATCCTCTGCATATGGCACTGTGCCCACCACCCAAAGTTGGATCTCCTGTGGTCACCGTATATTTTACCCCTTTTCCCCTTTACTCCCCAACCCCCTCTTCTGAGAGATTACAAACAAACACTGGTTTTGCTGGCGCCCAGAGGGAACTAGGGGTATCAAAAGGTGCCTGTGGACCCGCCCTTCCTTCCTGCGCTCGAATTCCCATTTGGGTCGTCGCTGTTAGGGAGCGGACACACCCAGGCTAGTCCTCAGCAGACACAGCCCCAGACCCTGCTCCCCCGGCGCACATGGCCAGGTGCGAGGCAGCCGCACCCGGTAATGGGGTGCATGGAAGTGTCTCTCCAGGATTCAACACGAGATCGCCAACATCCGACAATCCGTGACTTACAAAAATAGCGACTCAATGTGATCAAATCTAAAAATGAAAATGTCATGTAATCGATCAACTACTTCTAAGACAGAAACAAACAATACAAAATACAAACCACCTAAGTTCTCAGGTACCTTTTTGTCAGAGGGATATGACTTTGTTAGGGGTTAAAATGTCCTCCAAATATATATATATATGATATGTCAATGTGTACATCTATTTATATAGGTATAGGTATAGGTGGTCTGATCTACTACCATGAGCCCATCACATATGCTAGCTCTGTTCTCTGTGAACGGTATCAAGGATTATCTCCCTATAATTCTTTGTCTCTAAACTGAGTTCCAAAGTGCTAACTGCAAGCTTTGGTATTATGCAGGTGCTTGTCTTTCAGAACGCAAAGAACGAGGAAAAGACACAAATCTGACAAATCTGGGAGGGGCCTGGGGGACGGGAACAGTCGGGAAGCGGAGGCCCCACTGGCCGGTTACGCGGGGCTGGGGCTCGGGCCGCAGCGTTTAGACTTCGCCCCTTGCGTTCCTCGCGGAGAAGCCCTCCGCTTCGCGCGCACACGGAGCGACAACCGGACCCGCGTGAGCGCCGCAGTGTCGCGGGACCCGGCGAGCACTCACTTTCAGGAAGGTCGGCTTCCACAGCACGAGGGACACGTTCACCTGGCTCGCGTCGGAGGGGCGCAGGCTGCACGTGAGGGTCGCCAGCTTGCAGGCGCTGCAGTCCTGTGGAAACGTGCACAGGCCGCTGTTAGTGTTTCCCACGCGTGGCGAGCGGGAGCGAGCACAGGCAAACAGCCTATCTGGGGCGGCCACCTCCCGGCCCGCACGGGATCCTCCCTCCCCCGGGCAGCGCGCGCGGTAAATCCCGCCCGCGTCCCGGCCCCGCCCGCCCTTACCGGAATGGCGCCTCGCTTGACGTCGTCGGGCTGCAGCCTCACCGTCTTCTTCCCTGAGTTGAGGCCCAGAGGGTCCCGGAGGTCGCCGGGTCTGCAGTTCGCGTTCTAAGGGATGAAAATGTTTCTTTTATCGGACGGCGCCAGGGGAAAGGACTGGGTGCCCTCACGCGAAGACGCGGCGAGCGGCCGACTGCCGTGGACACAGACACAGAGGGAGACCCGACTTTGGGGGCCTGGGATGCGGGAGGGGCTGCTCCGCGCCAGCGCCAGCCGCGGGCGGCCACCTCGGGCAGGGCAGCAGCGGGGCAGCGTCCCGTCTGCGCCCGCGCCTCTCCCGCGAGCTGCGGAGGCGGCAGCGAGGTCTCCGTGGGGCAGGAAGGCTGCCAGGAGGACTTACTAAGTCCGCGATTCCAACCCCCGCGCTGGGCCCTCGGTGCCCCGCAAGGACTCCCAGAGCCCACCCACCCGGCTGTCAGTGGGGGGCCCTGACCTCTTTCCCCTCCATTGTCCAGTTAAGAAATGCCCACAGCAGCCCTGGCTGGCGTAGCTCAGTGGATTGAGCGTGGGCTGTGAACCAAAGTGTCGCAGGTTCGATTCCCACTCAGGGCACATGCCTGGCTTGCAGGCCACGGCCCCCAGCAACTGCACATTGATGTTCCTCCCTCTCTCTCTATCTCCCTCCCTTCCCTTTCTAAAAATAAATAAATAAAATTAAAAAAAAATGCCCACAGCCAACCCAACAGTACCCGCCTGGTGGGAATGGATCAAGGTTGTACCTACTTTTCTTATCAGATCAGCAAAAAATAGATGTTTTGGTGGGCCGCAGATTTTAGTAATTGGTGTATGTGTGCCATGAGAAAGGTTGGAACTCACGGACTGAAGTAAAAGTTATGAGAAGTGCACTAATTTTGTAAATTGCTGTAATACAGACGGAGAGAGTAAAACATTAAATACTGAGAAAAGAGGGCACTTGTTATTCCACACGATGGCACGTATGTGGATCAATAACATGAAGACGGTCATCCGTGTTTATACGTTCGCCCAGTCACGTCTGCGGAGCCCCCTGCACCCAGGTGAGACGCCAGGAGGGAGGAAGGCGCAGGGAGGCCGTGTGTTTATGAAAGAGCCGCTTTCGGATTGTTCCTCTCGGCTCCAGCTAACAAACCCCTGGCTTCCCCAGGACCCCCTCCCTCCCTCCGCCACGAAAGGTCGTGAGGACAGAGAAAGGTTCGTGAGTTGTGGGAAAAGCACAGTGTTCTTCTTCGCAGATCCTCCCAACCTGGCCTTCGAGGCTTAGAGGGACATGCCGCTGGGCTATTTTCTCCTTGCCTTCAGAAAGACATTGAGCTACGACAAGCCCGACTGCCATTGTGGCTGTTTCCTGATTTTCGGGAGTACTTGACATGTTTTAAAACCTCTGGAAAGAAGACCCACGGTGATTTTCTATGTCGAAAGACGGACCCAGAACAATGAACTACCAAAGAAAGAGACTCACTGGGTGTTACGGGTACTGAGGGGTGCAACACTGCTGTGGTTCGGCATTCGCGCCAGTGCTGTCAGTGAGTGGCCATGCGGTACTGCTCTGCGTGCAGCTCCGTGTGCTCAGGAGCGACGGACAAGTCTCCGTCTAGCGCTGCCTGAGCGCCTGAGCACAGGAAAGGGGCAACAGCCTCTCCGGCGGGACTCACCCGTTAGTCATCGCAAGTCTGCTCCAGTGGGTCGACTAGTGTCCCCAGAAGGTATGCTGGGGTCTTAAGGCCTGGAACCCATGAACGGGGCTTATTTGGACACGGGTTCATTGCTGGTGTGATTACATGCGAATCCCAGAGGAGAGCATTCTGGATTCAGTGGGGGGCCCTAAGTCCACGGGGGCAGTGTGCCCGTGAGCAGGCAGAGAAGGGAACGCAGGCAGGGACTGAGGTTCTGCTGCCCCGGCTAAGGGACGCCGGGGCTGAGGCGGCCACCGGGACCCGGGGGCTTCTCCCTGCAGCCTCCGGAGAGGACCGACACCGCCCACACTGTGATGTTCCACGTGGGGCCTGCAGAGCTGGGGGGGGAATCCATTTCTGCGTCGTTAGCCACCCAGTCTGGGGCAAGTCATCACCACGGCCGCTGCAGGGAACGCATACACCTACTAACCAAGAGCGGCGGTCACTATTTAAAATTTTCTTCTCCACGTCTCTGCGTGTCGCTGTGGTAAAGCCCTTTGCCACGAGTGGCGTGTAGAAGAGACAGCTTTAAGTGCAAACTGAGAAAGGAGACAGCAGTGGCGACTCCCAGGCACTGAGACTCACGTCGGAGGACGACCACCCACTCGGGTACAGCACGGGGTAACCGTCCCACGTCAGGTTGGGGAATGAAATCGACAGCCTGAGTTCCGGCATCGGAAACTGTCCACTTTTCCCAATCTATAAGGGGGGAAAACAAAACAAAACAAAACAAAACGTCAGCCTACAGGAAAAAAACCAAAGGCGATCCTTTCTTCCTCTTCCAGCAGCGCCCTTTCTGTCTCGCGTCATCAAAAATCAGGGAGGTCTGGCGGCCGGGGGCCGTGTGCCTCACACGCGGTCCTGTGCTGTTCCTTCATCCCTCCACTCCGCAGATAGGACTGACATTCAAAAAAAAAATCAGATTGATTTTTTCTTTGTCAATCACCCTGTTCAGCGCCCCTGCCGACATCCGCATGTCTTGGGAGGTGGACGGGAGAGAGAAGTCTTAGCAGGTGCACTCAGCACAGATGGGCGTGTTTTCGTTGGTCTCTGCCCCGTTTGCCACAATCCCGCAAGTCACTCCGCCCCCCACGAGAGGGCAACGCCCCGCCGCACAGGTGAACCTGGCCTCCAGCAGCCTCTCTTCACGCCCCACCTCCAGCGAGGGGCTTGCATCCCTGGCTACGGACGGGCGGGTTCAGGAGGTGCAGAAGGACCCTCCTCCGATCTCCGTCTGTTTTCCTCTCCTAACCCCGTGCCCACGTCACGTCACATCAGGCCACCCGTGGCGAGCTCTTCCTGATACTTAGTCAGAAATCCTGTACTCTGCAACTGGCATTTCCTTTTTCTGGTTAAAGGCAACATTCCTCATAGAAACATTGAAAAACGCTGAAAATAAACTAGCATTACCTGTAAACTTAGAGAGTCTGTGGGGCCACGGCCTATCAGCCACCGAGTAACAACCACGCCACCAACCGCTACTGTTTGCTGGCTGCCTTCAGGCACTGGGCTAACTTTCTTTCTCGCTTTATTGCCTTGGACCCTGTTAACAGCCCTACGACGCAGATTCACTTATCCCTGTTATGTCCATTTTAAAAAAGAATGAGAATAAAGGTATCCCAAGTTCACGGAGTCGATACATAGCAGAATTGGGGTGTTTTTCCCAAACGGGCCTCCTGGAACTATTATAATAGTGGTCTTCCCACTGAATAACTGTACGATAGTTTATTCAAGTGATTTCATGCTGTAAAGCAAGGGCCCCAACCCCTGGGCCGTGCACTGGTACTGGGACACACAGCAGGAGTTGAACTCGAGTGTCATGCACTTGGGTCATCCTGAAACCATCCCCCACCCCAGTCCGTACAAAAACCGTCTCCCAGGAAACCACCCCTGGTGCCAAGAAGGTTGGGGACCACTGTAAAGCATTTACACTGTGCCTGGGTTTTAATTTTTAAACTACTATCAGTAACATTGCTAAGAATATCTCTGAGCATGAATTGTTGTTTATATCACCCATACTAATTACCTGTGGTGAATTTCTAGCAGTAAAGTTACTGGGTCTCCCCTAAAAAAAGAGTTTGTATTTTTTAAAAACTCTATTCCTCCAATTTCTGATTTTACTCTGGCATAATAATCGGCAGTACAAAAGATTGATTCTCGGGGAGATTCTGAACAATGTTATTTACCTCATCACTGTAACACATTGGGAGGACCTGGTTCAGGTCTGGACTCTCAAAAATGATGATATATTAACGTCTGCAACGTTCGAAGTCTCTCTCTCCTTCCCTCCCTTCCTCCCTCCCTTCTCCCCCCTCCTCCTCCCTTCTCCTCTCTCCGTTTTTCCTTCCTTTCTTCTGTCTGCTGGATTTTCTGATCCTGGAAAGTGAAGGGGGCCAGGATAACCTGGTGGTGCGAATTCCAAAAACACATCCCAGGAGCAGAATGACCGGCATTCATGCTAACTTCCAGAGAACAGCTGGTCCTAGGAATCTCAGCCCCAGGCACAAATAACGACAATGCAATGCATCTTGAGAGTATACGTTCATTTCACTTTGTAAGAGAACTTCCGTTTTCATGGCTGGCGATTTCCAAAGAGATTGAGACTACCTTCACCCGTAATAGTGCTGGCTGCCTTATTTAATACTTCTGACGATGCATTTAAACCCGTCATTTGAACTGGGCCCACTGGGACTCGAGTGCCATCAGCTCGAGTCGGAGTCTGTCAGTGGGCGTTGCCCACAGTGAAAGCCCAGCTCCGCCCCACGGCTGCTTGCTGGAGTGGGCGGGAAAAGTCTAATGTGAACGGCACCAAGAGAAAGTTGTTGCAATAGAAACATTACTTACAGAGGGGGTAGTGAGAACAAAGGTTATAGTCTAATACACATGAAGAGTAGCAATTAGCAGGATGAGAGACATTAACTTAAGTAAAGAAAAATATTGCCAAGGCAATTTTAAATAATCAACTTCTGAAATAGTAATTGTATTTTTAAAAAGCGCTTTACTCAGGCACACTAAAAATAGTGTAAATATTATAGGTAGTATCTTTTTGGTTTCATAGTCTATTTTTTCTGGGAAATCATTCTAATTAATTGTGTGTTACTATCAAGAAATTAAATAATTAAGTCTTTAAAATTGCTTCAAATACAGTGACCAGTTAAATTAAATTACTTTAAAATAGAGAAACCATAAGGAAAGATGGGATGGACAGAGACTGTTGAGCCGATGTATTTCTACACGTCTATCAATACTGCCATTTAATTAAAACATTTACAAGTAACCTCTTAAAATGTTGATTTAAAGGTAACTTCTTACCAAGTAGAAGATATTAATTTCACGTCCAACGTCCTCAGTAGAATTAATAACTTCGGGCAATGTCTCGTTGGCCTCGATTGAAATATGGTATTCACTGGCAGAGCTTAAAAGAATTAATTGGAAGAAGAAAAACAAAACACAACGATGTTTAACTTTGATTTGGCCTCCTTCTTTCCTTCTTCATCCCAGATGACCCCACAAAAAATAGTTACAGAGATTTCAAGTCAGAGACAAAGCCTGTCACCCTGAAGCCTAAAACCAGATCTTTGAGGAGGGTGCGAAGGGTTATATATAATTTAGCTCAGTAGTCACTGATATTTAAATGGCCTTAAAATGTTAAAATATGTATAGTTTTTAAAACAAAAATATCATTGTTACCAAATGACAAGTTTCCATGGATTCACTAATATCACATTTTGTGAACAGTCAGGCTAAAGCCTGGTATTTTTAGTAGTGTGGAATTTTAAATAGACTTTTAAACATTGTCACATTTTCGCTGTTTCAAGTTCCATAGTTACTGCTAAACTTAAAAATTCCACCTTTTCTATACGACGTCTTCATGCTCTCTGGGTGACCTGAGTAGAATAAAATGTGACCATATTTTTAGGCAGTACTTCAGTTAAGGGGAGACAAATAAAAAATGCCAGTCTTTGCCAAAACTTGATTTGAAATAAATGAAAAATTCTGGCGATAAGAGTCAGTCGATATAGCGAAACAGAAAAGAGGCAATGAAATTTAAAGGCTAAGAGATAAAAGCAAAACCTGCATGTGCACCCTACAGTCCTCCCACGTGGCGTTCTGATACCATTGAGAGGGAAACACCGCGGAAAACAAATTAATAAGCTGCTAAGACTTTGACACCGAACTTGACTCTGATTCTCGCACTTCTTGCCGTCAGGGCACCTGTGTTCGGGCCCGGCGTGCGGTCCTGCCTAGACCAGGGAGCCCGCGGCAGGGGCGTGTGCCGACGGGACGGCTGTCGTGCGCATCCGAAGGCCGCGGGAGAAAGCACAGCATGTGACAATTAAAGAAATACGCAGCCAGCGCTCGCCCATGAGAAACGGTTTGATGCCGTGTGTCCAGAATGGGCAGGCTGTGCTCAGACCCCACACAGCCGAAACGGCAGCCACAGCTCTGCGGCTGGCCCGTGAGAACAGCTGCCGTTTGGGAAGGGCTTCTGGGCCTTCCAGGGGTGCCCTTGGCCGTGAGACGGGGGCTCAGAGGCAGCCCCGTCCCGTGGGCACCTCAGGTTTAGGTGGCTTGGCATGCTGGCTGCCACCCTTCAGAGGGCCCGAGGACTGCCTGGGGGTGGGTGCGGGGCGGGCCTGAGAGTTCGTCTCTCCGGTGAGTTAGGGAGGGGGCAGTTCAGATGCCTGTGGCCAGGGACCAGGGGGCGTGTGTCCCGGACCCCTGGGTCAGCACAGCAGAAAGACATCAACATCTATGAGCAGCTTCCTCCTACCTGTGAAACTGGAGCCCGACTTCGTACTTGACTGGGAGGGAGAGGCTGACCTCGTTGTCCGAAAGGGTTTCCGGAGGCTCTTCGCTGTCACTGCAAAACGCACAGCCCGTTCAGGCGAACCGCTCAGCCCGGCCTACTGGGGTGCTTCTGAGCGCTTGACAGGTAAGCTGTCTTAAGCTGGTGGCTACGTGGACGCACAAAAGAGTTCAACCCTGCATTTTCTAATGAGCTGAGGAGGGAGGTCGGAGAGGGGGCTGGCTGAAAGGTCCTGAGTGGATTGGGAGGAGCCGCTAGGGTTGAAGGCCAGGCTGACTTCGCCCCAAGTTTCTCGGACTTCTGGGAGGGTAACGGTGAGAATCCTTGGGCCGGTTCTTAAACGCACAGATTACTGTGCCTCTGTCCTAGGAACACGGATTTCGCAGGTCCAAGTTGGGGCCTCGGGCTTTTATGTTTTGTTGGTTTTTTTTTTAAGATTTTATTTATTTATTTTTAGAGAGGGAAGGGAGGGAGAAAGAGAGAGAGGGAGAGAAACATCAATGTGCAGTTGCTGGGGGCCGTGGTCTGCAACCCAGGCATGTGCCCTGACTGGGAATCAAACCTGCGATGCTTTGGTTCACAGCCCGCGCTCAATCCACTGAGCTACGCCAGCCAGGGCTGCTTTTATGGTTTTAACAGGGGATTCTTACTTGTGTATCAGAGACGAGGGCCTTACACAGGGACACGGCTAAGGTCACACACCTGAGAACGGGTCTGGAAGTTTCCGTCTTCAGTTTCATAGTCTTTCCAAACCACGTACTGCATGTCCACATTACATGTTAAACCCCGACCTCTCCCCGTGGTTTTGGTCATCATTTCAGTTGTATGTTATGTAACCACATGCAGATATATGTACACACCCACGTATCTCCTAATCCCCTGCATTTCAAAAGCACGGACGAGGGATTTCACAGTTACCAACGCTGGCTCTGGGGTCAGAGTTCATGGGATTGTTCGTGCACATGGGCACACTTTGGGTAAGCTTGTTTTTCCCTGTGCCCTGGTTTTTCCGCCTATAAAATGGGGATTTTATTGAAATAGTTAATAACTGGAGAGTGAGAAGTGGGTGCCCAGTGCTTCTCAGAGGAAATAATAAGTGTCGGCTCCTGTTATTATTATTATTGCACAGCCCTCCACCAAGCGGCCGAGAGCCTGGCATTCGGTCTCACAGAACGGCCAGTGAGGGCCTCCTTAAGGCCTCTGCATGGCTCCCAAGGGCGTCACGTGGCCTGTGGTTGGTGGCGGGGCAGTGAGGGCAGCCCCTGCCTGGGGGAGAGATCCTGGTGTGACCGGCCTTTTGTTACGAGCGCCCACCCATTTCACCTCGTAGCCAAAGGAATCTCCCCAAGGAGCGGCTCTGTACCTGCAGTTCCCCCTCTCAGAAACTTTTCTGGCTCCTCACAGCCTATTCAATTAGGAAAAAAAATGGATTGCCCTGGCTGGTGTGGCTCAGTGGATTGAGCACTGGCCTGCAAACCAAAAGGTCGCTGGTTTGATTCCCAGTCAGGGCACATGCCTGGGTTGTGGGCCAGGTCCCCAGCAGGGGGTCTCCAAAAGGTAACTGATTGATGTTTCTTGGCCTCTCTTTCTCCCTCCCTTCCTCTTTCTCTGAAAATAAATACATACAATCTTTTTTTTTAGCAAAAGCCTCAGTTCTGACATTCAACACTTTGCCACAACACGGCAGGACGCACACTGCTTAGGCGTTGTGTACATCCGAGTGAAACCAGGTCACCTGGTCCTCCTCCCACCCACTCCACGGCCCTACCTCTGAGTCTTCGCTCAAGCCGTACACTGTCCCTGAAATGCTCCACACCGAGTCCCCCGGCTCCTTTGTGAACCGTCATCCATCCATGAAGGACCTTCTCAGCTGTGATCTTGATGAGGCTGTCTGGAGTTCTCATTGCTGAGTAGATACACTTTCCCCCTCCATTAGGTCTCCGACTCCAGGTTTAGGTTTCTCTAATGGATTTTCCTTATTCCACCCCGAATGGCGAGAATGTAGACACTAGTCTCTGCCCCGTGGGGTGATGCTCACCCCGTGATGAGGTCCATGCCCTTTCTAAGTTTTATATTCCCTGCAGTGTCTAGTTTAGTATCCTGTCCGCTGTGGGTCTCAAATAAATATTTGTTGCGCTGAATGGATTTGAGCGTACAGAATTAATCTATCCATGAACTCCTTCAACATGTATGGAGTGATGATTAGATGCCAGGCACTGTGGCAATTACTTGGGAATAAAGCAATAAAAGATAGAACTATAACTCAGGGGGCTTTTGGTCCCTGGGGTGATTGCAATCAGACGAAAGTTAAGCCACGATTTCAATTTTCTTATTAACCTTTTGTTTTTTTTTTAGCCTATGTGTTCCATGTTATCTTTCAGAGGCTTCGATTGGTTTGGGTACCATTTATTAACCTCCTGGAAGTTATCATAAAGCTGAATCTGTCTAATGACTTCGTTGGCCTTGACAGGCGTTTAAATCAGCAGAGCCTGGCCAGTTTAAGTGAGCATAAATGCAGTTTGGCAGATACAAGCGATGCAATTACAACCTGTTCTGCGGCTCATGGAAAAAAAAAGCGGCTTCATCCAGTTAGAGAATTAAATTATTGCTATTAAATAAAAGGGCCTTTATGTTGCTAATTACTCACACACATGCACTCGCGCAAACCGACCTTGTTGCACTTAAGTGGATGGTCACATTTTCCATGAGATAGGACGTGTTGAATTGGAATATTATTTTGAAAGTCACCTGTGAAATAAAAATATACATCTTTAGTTTAGGATCAGATCAAGAAAACATTCACTTTGATGAAAATATTCAGTCACATGAACGATATTACCTAAGCTCGTATTGCGAAGTTATTTATGAAATATTGCCATGGGGGGGGAAATGAACACGATTATACTTAAACAACAATAAAAAATTGTGAAAAAAAAGAAAAGAAATATTATCTTACAGAAAAACTCATCACGTCTCAAAACTAGAACAAGATACGACGTACATGTACTTTTCAACATAAAATGCAATATGCTTTGCATATTAATATTGAATTTAAACACTTTATTCAAATTATGTTCATGATAATAACTTATACTAAACACAAACCATTACAGGAAGGGCCACCCTATTTGTTTTACTATATTCCCATAGACTAGAAGATCACAATAGTAAACAATATAATTATGAAGTGATCTTAACTAAAGTCTCTATAAATCTTCAAATATCAGCATCATTTATTGTAAAATAGAGGAAAAGATACTTGGTGCCATTAATTTGATCGTGTAAAAAAGTCTGGGACCTTTAGGGAATAACAACAACAAAGTGAAACACCATAAAAGGTTTGGCTATTTAGAATAAAGTGAACTATAAAAAAGGAGTGGGTAGTGCTTACAAAAGCTTGCACAGTTAGAATGATACCTTGGGGAAAACGGAAAAGCGTTTTTGCTGCGCTGACGCTCTGGGACACGTACAGGCCTGAGCACACACAGGAATTCCGTGACGCGCGATTCCGCACCAACTCCAGGGGGCAGACCGGGAGCCGGGTTCGTGGGAAGACATGCCCGCCACCGCTGAGTCCCAGTCCAAGAGCCCTCGCCAGTGTTTGTAAAACTGGGTTTCCAGTTCTCAAAACTAATCTCAGTTTGCCCCGGCTGGCGTAGCTCAGTGGATTGAGCGCGGGCTGCGAACCAAAGCGTCGCAGGTTCGATTCCCCGTCAGGGTACATGCCTGGGTTGCAGGCCACGGCCCCTAGCAACCGCACATGGATGTTTCTCTCTCTCTCTCTCTTTCTCCCTCCCTCCCCTCTCTAAAAATAAATAAATAAAATCTTAAAAAAAAACAACAACTAATCTCAGTGTGTGCAGTGTTGGGATTTTGGCCAGCAATATAGATGGCCCAAAACGCACCGTGAATAGAAACGACCTAAAAGTTTATCTTTGTAGTTGAGTGCTAGACAGGGCAGAGGCTGATGTTGGAAGCCCTTTCCGTGAACACAGGCACCGCCGCGGACGGGTGGCTAGAATGTCGGGGGCAGGACACATGCCTGGTCGTGCCATATCATTATTCACAGGAATTTTTTCCCCCAGTGTTTTCCTCTTCCACACATATCTTGAGTTACATTAAAAAATATTTCTTTCTCTCTTTTCTTAAAGATTTTATTTATTTTTAGAGAGAGGGGAAGGGAGGGAGGAAGACAGGGAGGGAAACATCAGTGTGTGGTTGCCTCTCACTCGCCCCCTACTGGGGACCTGGCCTGCAACCCGGGCATGTGCCCTGACTGGGAATCGAACCTGCGACCCTTAGTTTCGCAGACCGGCACTCGACCCACTGAGCCAAACCAGCCAGGGCAAAATATTTCTTCTAAAAACCTTCAGCCCTGCAGTTTTCTCCTTGCTCTGAAATAGCAATCGCAACTCCAGTAGAAGCTTTATTGGGTGGGCTTGAACTGCAATAGACAAAGGGCCAAACTGCCAGAGCCTCTCAGGGAGACCCTGCTCACCTGCCTTCCCTGCGCCCCCCACCGCCCCGCCCCCCCGCGGCCTGGATCCGGGAGCCTGGAGGGGGGTGGTGCTGAGGAGGCGGCAGACCTGGCGGAGGCCCCTGCAGAGGGCGGGCTGGAGACGCTGCCTGTTGCGCATTAATCTGACCCTACAGTGCTTCAGCGATAAATCTAGACCCTAAAACCAAAGTGTATTTTAAGTGGAAAGCCATCTAAAAATCAGTTGCAAAATATCCCAATGATCTCCCCATCTCCCTCCTGGTGACGTGAGACACTTTGATTTGGGCTTTTACCCTAAGCAGGAAGGAACTGCTAGATAAAGAAGGAAATGGTTAATAAATGATTAAGATTGTGATTAATGTCTCCAGTGGTTGGAATGTAACATGAAGTGTGGCATTATTCTTTCAGAAAGTGAGATAATTCCAGGGTTCATTAAAGCGGTCAAGGGAAGGAGCAGATAGAAATTGACATTCCTTATTTCCATGTCAAATTAGACGAATTATGAATGTGTTTTTTTTTTCAAATGTGAAGTGTGTTTTAGAGATTTGTAGAGAAGAAATTCAATTTCACAGTAAATTTTATTTGGGTCATCAAGAAATAGACTCTATGATGAGATTCCAAAAATAAACTGGTATGTCCTGTTTGTTCCGTAAACGAAAATGGACATTGAAGAGATTTATTGAATTTGATGATAACTGCTGTGATTCACAGTTTCCTGGAACGCTAGTAACCATGCTGCATGCATTGAAAGGAAAGGCCTTTTTGAATTCTTATTTGCAAAAAGAGAAGCTAAGAGATTTTGTTGGAGACACGTGACTGCTATTTGCAGATGTCCCCCCGGTGTTCATCGACGTTTTGGAGGGAGAGCAGGGGCTGTCTCTCCCAAGGTCTTATATTATAAACTACTAGCATACGAGAAAGTTGGAGTAAGTACTGCGGACAGTGCTCCCCTTCTTGGTTTAAGTCTAGGTCAAGGCCGTAAAGTATCTTCCTAGCTGAATAGTTCTGAGTAATTAAATATTTCCCTCATTAACTTGATAGTAAAAAAAGAGCAAGTACTTATACTGAAATGTAACTGTCAACGAAAATATATGCAAATATCTTGCTTATCATTAAGTGAGATCATCATTCTCTGCTCTCCACGGAAACAAATATTGTCTTTAACACTGAATGTACTTAGTACTTAATGAGATTTCTTACTTCACTTCTCTTCACTTACTGTGGGAGGTTCCATCCAGGGCAATTGGGTAAGAAAAAGAAATAAAAGGCGCTGGACTGGAAAGAATGCCTCTATTTGCAGATGACAAGACCTTGTATATAGACTATTGTGTGGAATCCTCTAAAAAATTATTAGAACTAATAAATAATTTCAACAAGGTGGCAGGGTAACTGATCACTATTTCAAAATAAATTGCATGTCTATGTATTAGCAATAAAAAAAACCTGAAAATAAATTTAAGAAAGTAACTCCATTTAAAATAACATCAAGAAGAATAAAATGCTTAGGAATAAATTTAACTAAGTAAGGGCAAAACGTGTATTCTGAAAACTACAAAACATTTTTGAAAGCAATAAAGAAAATCTAAATAAGTGGTAAGACATTTGATTGTTCTGGATAAGAAGACTTGATATTTTTAAGGGGGTAAGACTCTCCAAATTGATTTGCAGATTCAATGCAATCCCTACCGAACTTCAGAAAATAACAAGCTTCCCCTAGAGGACAAACGGAAATGAAAGGGACCCGGAATAGCCAACGGTTTTGGAGAAGAAAATAGTCGCAAGACTGACCTTTCCTGATTTCAGGCTTACGACAAAGCTGCAACCACCAAAGCAGTGTGGTCCTGACGTAAAGATGGACATATTGACGAATGGGAGACAATGAAGAGTCAAGAAACAAGCTCAGGTGCGTTCGGTCAGCTGATTTGCAGCGAGAGCGCCAAGATAGCTCACGTCCTCAGACAGACGGTGTGGGACACCTTTTAAAGTCCTCAGACAAGAATGAAGTGGGACTCGTCCCTCACAGCACACGCATGCGTTCACGAAAACGGGGCACAGACCTAAACGTAAGAGCGAAAACTGTACAACACTTGGGAGAAAAAATAGGACTAGACCGTTGTGACCTTGATTCAGGCAGAGCCTTCCTGCATACAACCCCAGAAACACGAGTGACAGCAGGACAGATGGGTGAGATGGACTTCAACAAGGCACAGACTTCTGTGCGCGCGCGGACGGCATCAAGAGGGCGAAAAGACGGCGCACGGGACCGGACGCGAAGTGTGCACGTCGGGGACCCGAGGAGCAGCTGCAGTGCAGAGTACCGGGAGAGCTCTCACAGCTCACTGAAATAAACACGAAACACGTCCCATGGAACAGCCGCCGGCGGGCCCGAGCGGACACTTCTGCGCAGGCACATGCGTGGCCAGCGAGCGCACGAGGAAGGCTCAGCGCCACGAGCCCTCAGGAAGTGCGAGTTAAAACCACGGGGAGACGCGAGCTCACACGCCCAGGGATCAGTAGCAAAAAGGCAGGGACGAGGTGAAGAAGCTGGAACCCTCAGGCACGGCTGGTCGGGATGTAAACCGGTGCGGGGGCCACTTTGGAACACAGTGTGGCAGTTGCCCAAAACGTTACACCTGGTTGCCATGTAACCCCAGATTCCCATCCCTACGCTCCCCCCCCCCCCAGAGAGCTGAAAACAGCCATCCGCACCGAGACCCGTACACAACTCTCTACACAGTAGCTTTATCCGCCGTAGCCAAAAGGTGGAACCACCTCAACGCCAACCACCCTATGCACCAACGAGCAAAAGGTGACACACGATGGAGTATTATTTGGAAATAAAAAGGAATAGACTACCGATATATAACCTAGCCTTGAAAATGCCAGGCTCAATGGAAAGCCAATCACAAAAGGCCACACATACTGCGTGAGTTTGTTTATATAAAACGCCAGCGCAGGCAAACCCATGAGAAAGAGGGCAGATCGGCGGTTGTCTGGGGTCGGGGGACGGGGTGCCGAGGGGAAAAGAGCGGCAACTGATCGCGTGGGTGGGGTTCCTTTCGGGGACGTGAAAATGTTCTGACGTGGATTGTGGTGCACAATGCGCAGTCCGGTGCACACACAGAAACCCTCCGAATTACACACTTTAAATGAGGGGGTTGTACGGTATACGAACTATTATATCTCCACGAGGCTTCTGTGAGAAGGAGAGAGGAAAATGACAGCCGAGCTTCTAGACAAAGTTCTAACCCTGCCTGCCTGCAAGGCTCTTTCCCCTGCAGGTCAGAAAACTCTACCGCACGGCGCTTCGGCGCGAGGACTCTCTGGCTCCGCACTATCAGATCTGTCGTGTGGCGCCGACCCATCCTTTTGGGTCGAAGTTTGGCTCGGGCGATAACTGCCTTTGGATTCCAAGAGTTCCACGTGTCAACTCGATCTTCTTCCTCGACACCGCCCTGAAGGGCCAGGGCCAGGGCCAGAAGGAGTTCTGGAACCGGCACTGAGCACGTTACTTTTCATCCCCGGCTGCCACAACTGCCGCTCGGCGTGGCCTGCTCACCATTTGCCCTCTCCTCAGGAACGGGTACCCCACTTTGCACGTGACGTTGTGATTGGATTCGCAGCTGTCCTTCTGGATCGCCTAGAGGAATGGAGACGGAATTAGAGAAGTCACGCAGGTGGAATCCTCGACCTTGGTTTGCTAGAATTTCCCCAGCTGCGCCTGCACTCTGTCTTGCTAAGATCTGCCTTTCAATGTCACTGGGGAAGTCAGGGCACTCCGGGGTCACCCGTCCCACTGCCTGTGGACGTCGGAAAACGTCACTTAGGGTTGGGGGGCCTGGAGGAAGCACAGAGCACGTCACTCCGTTCCGCCTGGATCTCCCTTCCTGCACCCCACAGGGCGCAGGTGGCTGGATGGAAGGGCCACGCAGACCAGACTGGCACGTGCAAGCCCACCGTGAACAGCAGCTGGGGAGGGCAGCGTGGACCCCACCTGGGACCACCGGGGTTTGAACCCCGACTCCACCCCTCTCGGCTCCATCCTCGTCAAGAGTCCTGATTGTCTGTCAAGCGGGGTTAGTGACCCTCCATCTCATTAAGTTTAACACGCCATTTAACTGGACACATTGTTTATCATGTGCTGCTACCAAGAAAACACAATGCTGCCGGATTCATAAACACACCACCGACTGCAGAATTCAGCTACGGAAACGTTAAAATGTGGAGGGGGTGGGGTGATCTTGGAGTCTCTGCACTGCGGCGATGCCTGCTTAGGGAAGAATCGCTGAGTGCGAAACCAGGAGCCCAGCACACGCCAAGACTCAAGGGAAGACAGCCGTTTGGGGCACTGTTGTCATGGGAACCCAGGGGGTTCCTGGGGCCGCGCTGCTGGTTTCAGGCATTACCGGGGTCTCTCCGCCCAGGCCGGGAACGCGCCGGGCAGCCACAGGCCATTATGACCCGGGCAGTGACATTTTCCCGTCATCACTCTGCACATTTGGGTTTATAATTAACATTCCTCACTGAAAACCTGTGGTCGTAATACAGGACATTTTTTTCATACCTTAGTCATGTTGCTAAGTGATCTCTTGGCAAATGGAAAAAAAAATCAGGAAAAATATAAAGTCACAGAAACTAAGCAACAGAATTGAATACCACATACAATATGTGTATTGGCTTTGAAGATGCATCATATTAAAAGCACGAACTCATTTATAATTAGTTTGTGCAAATACACACAGAATTGAACTCAGGACGGTTCATTCAGAGATCAGGATTAAAAGCAAAGTGGTTACTAACTCCTTCTGACACAGCGTTTCATGCAGCTTTATGCTGTTGCCAAAACAATGGGAAAGCTTCCGGCAGGGCAACGGGTCAGCCACCTCCCACACTGCCCCGTCCACCTAAGGACTTCGCACAGAAGTGGGGGTGTCTCGGTTTTTCTGCCTGTAAGTGTCTTCCGGTCAACGCCTGCCTCTCTGCGCATCCCTGCGCCTCTGCTATGCTGCTTTGACTTTCACGGCGGTGTTTATTTTGTTTGACTCAGCCTCAGGCACGGCGCTGTGAGGGTTCGGTGACGCACAGGTTTAATACACGAGAGACCCCTTCCTCATCCTGAGCCCGAGAAGAGACAGATGTCTCCAAAGAATCACATCAAAGCCCTGGCTGGCGCAGCTCAGTGGATTGAGCGCGGGCTGCGAACCAAAGCATTGCAGGTTCGATTCCCAGTCAGGGCACATGCCTGGGTTACAGGCCATGGCCCCCAGCAACCGCACATTGATGTTTCCCTCTCTCTCTCTCTTTCTCCCTCCCTTTCCTCTCTAAAAAATAAATAAAAATAAAATATTTTTTAAAAAAGGAATCACATCAAAACCAAAGCCCTCAAGACCATCGTGGCATTCGCACCATTAGGTGGTACCGATTTTGCACCAAAGGCGGTGTCTTCTATCCAATCAACACAATAAAATAATTAGTGTGGAAAGCCGGCTCAGGAAGTCGCCATCCCGAGATCCCGAGCACCCAGCCCGGGGCGGAAGGGCGAGGTTACCTCGATCCCGGAGAAAATGAGGTTGGAGGAGTAGTGCGCCGTGGTCCTGGTGTTGTAGGCGCTGTCGCCCTTGTTCCTGACCGTGAGGCTGACGTTGAGCTTGTCGCCGGGGGACCTCACGAGCAGCGCGCCCGGGGGGTCCGGGGTGGAGGCGCCCAGGGCGAGGTCCGACACGCACGTGTCCTTGTTCCCGCAGTCTTTGGCGAAGGGGATCTGAAACGGGCCCGCGGAGCACCTTTCAGACTCTAGTTCAGTGTTAACCCGAGTCAGAGAGGTGGTCTGAGGCCGGGTGACCCCTCAGGGGGATCGATCCCACTGCAGGAATCGCGGGACAGTCTCTGTTCGTGCCCACGGTGCGTGGAGGAACTGAGGGAGCTTCTGCTTTGGGGCGCAGACTCTCCCGGGCCTTTAAAGGAGGCCCACGGTTTCCACGGACGAGCCTCCGTGGCCTTGGCCCGTGAGAACAGGAGGGTTTCAGAGGGCCGAGGCGAGCACCGTGAGTGGACACCTCAACCCTCACCCCGGGGATGGGAGGTTCCGCTCAGAAGAACTGGACGCCGCTCGGGAGGGCCACTGCGCCCCAGTCCGCTCAGCGGGGCGGGAAACGGCCGGGACGCACAGCGGGGGCTTTCCTCGCCTCCCCCTCCCCACGCAGGGCTCCCCCACTTCATGCAGCTCGCCACCGAGAGCTGCCCTTTCTACTTCTGCCCAGATGTCTCCCCTTTCTGCTCCCCTCGCCTCCTCTGGTCCGCCCACCCTCCTTGCCAGACTCATTTAAAGGTGCATGTGCGTGTACCTGCTTGTCACGCACACATACATGTAACCCTAAATCAATTACAGACATGCATGTGTGTGTGTGCGTGTGTGTTCAAGTATTTCAAGTTTTTCCTTAACATAGTCACACACAGGCATCCCAAAGGGAAAAACCGGGACTTACATATTCGTGCACCGAACTGGGCAGCGAGTCGTCGAGGACGGGCCCGTCGTCTGGACTGATGAGGTTGAAATCCAAGGTGATCCTTACAGAGTCCCGGAAGTCGTGCTTGTCCTGGAGGCCGAGACATAACACGCGTCGTTGGGGCCCCACTTACCGGGCGCTCCGACCTCGACGGGGCTTCCGTCCCCCCGTCGCTGGGGGTCAGCCCTGCGTGAACGTTTTTGGGCACCCGGTCCGACGTGGGACCCCCTCAGGCTCTGCTCTGCAGGGCACGGCCGGCCCTGGGCCGGGACCAGGGCCACGGCTGGTGCGCACGGGCTCCAGGTGGTGCCGACCCGCCGACGCGCCAGGGCTTCTCCGAGGGGCCGCTGGAGGGGGCGGGACGCGCCGCCCCTGGTCACTCGCTGGGAGCCACCTGCGCTGCAGCGCCACCCCCCCGGAGGCCCCGGGCTCACACCGCCGTGCAGCACTTCCGGGGGGGTCCCCCCACTCGGGAGAGCAAACCGCTTTCAAACTGCGTTGCATTTCACTGACACACGGCATATCCTGAGTCGTCAGACTCACACGAGGGGAACGATACGTAAATAGTGCTAATACGGTCGATACTGGGCAGACCGTCAGCAGTGACAGCACCGTCTATGGCCGGTGCAGAGCCACCAGCTTTGTACACACGGCGGAGTGTCATTTCCACGGGCCTCCACGAGGAGTCTCCACCACGGGCATCGCTTGACACACGAAAGCCGAACCTGTGAGACACTGAACGACTTCGCCAACGTCACTGAGCTACGGACTCCGCCCTGGCTGAGTCCAGGACCGGCGGTCACGTACCCGTGAGGGTCCAGATGACCTTGGGGAGTCTGGCAACTCGCTCACCCCTTCCCAGACCCGTGCTCGACCCTGCGTTTGCACAGCGGCGCCCTGCTGCGTTCTCACCCCCATCCCCGCTGGAGGCAGCGCCCCCCGACCCCCTGGCCCCCCAGACCTCCCGCCCCCCGTCCCATCACGTCCCAGCCTCGGTCCCTCGATGCTGGCCCCGCGAACCCGCCCAGGACGCACGACTCTGGGATTTGGTTTCCGACCGCAGATCGGCCTTGGCGTTGACAGAGTAAGTTTTGTTGTGACACACGTCACGGGGTGGGGGGGGACAGTGACACGAAATCCCCGAGGAAAAGTCTCTGAGGTTCGACACCTGTCTTTTCTCATCACACCCATGCGGCTGTTTTCTTCTTGCTTAAAGCAACCGTTCAAGCAGCCCCTGCCCTTGGTGGGGAAGGCCCCCTCCGTCCACGGCACCGAGAGTGGGTCCAACCAGCTGCCCAGCTGCTTCCAGCGACTGATAATAATTTGCTTTCCTCGGCCCCCCCCGCCCACTCCAGCAGAAAGACACTCAGGGGGCCCGAAGCCCGCGGCAGAGGGGGAACACCAGGCGTCTCCCCCTTGGGTTTCAGCACGAGGCACGAGTGAAGTGCGTGGATGAGCACCAGAGGAGACCCCAGAGAGCACACGGCCCCGCGGCCCCTCAGGGCATGTAACCTTTTATCGCCCCCCCGCCCCCCTTGGCCCACGAGGCGGCCCGAAGGGACGCGTTTCCACGCTGAAAGGGCACAGCAGTGAAGAGACAGGCCTCTCGCTGATGTCCCCGTGCCCCGAGCACGGCTCTCGGAGACCGCACAGGGAGAGGAGAGGTGATAAAATGAACTTGGAAACCAGGACATCATACCCGGGACTTCCTGACAGCAGGGAACCGACAAAATTACAGTGAATCTCACGACGCGCGAGACAGAAACCGGACGGAGAGAAGGGACAGAGGTGACACAAGACACCCGGGCGCGTGTCCGGCTCCGGGACACGGCAGCCACAGCACACGATTTACTTGCCAACATGTAGAAGAAATGCTTGGTGCACTTGGACGCGCGGACGGTGACGTTCCTCTGGACCCTCCTCTCCTGGGTTCCCGAGAAGAAGCTGCGAGCCATCTGCCTGAGCGAGTCCAGCGTGACGCGGTACTGCATGTCTAGGGGGATGGAAACAGGGCAGTGGGGGGGGGAGGGTTTCGGGGTGCTTTTCACTCGGCCCAGCCCGTTCGGTCAGCGCGACGGAAAGGTCTCTCGGGCCGTCGGCCGGCACAGAGCTTCTGCCGTCCAGCTCGCAGCAGCGCCGCGGGGCGAGGGCGCCCACAGGGGGGACGCCAGCCTGGGGGGCGGGGAATCCTCGGAACGGCTGGCGCAGGCGCTACACTCTCCATGGTCGGTCACACTTTGTAATTTACACGTGCACGCACACACACACACACACACACACGCGTGCCCCTTACATATCAGCTACTTTCCGGACCACGCCTGTGTCTACGGGATTTACTCGCTTCAAATATTTACTTTGTTGCATTTTAATAGAGACATTGATGACATTTTTACCTAGCTTATAACAAGTGCCACTTTAGAGTATGATCTTAGCCTAGAATGCATTCAACCTACTAAATAAGTTTAATAAACTAAGCACACCCTAAGCAGGAAAACAAGTTACGCCTCGTACTTCTAAGAAGGTGACAATGCCCCCCACGCGGTCACTTTGGTACTCACAGAAGTTAAGTGAGACTGAAATAATGCTACACATGGAAATGTAAACCGCTACTTCCCATTCCTGCCCCTCATCTGTCTTCTCGCCAGAGGACCACTGCGGAGCACACATACGCACCGAGGGCACACTAAGAAAACTAGGTTTTAAAGATGAGTGCTTCCCTCATTCCACTTACACTGGGTTTGCAGAGTAACTCACTCTCTGCTGCTAGTGGCCTTCCCAGTATCGACTCTGGCATATTTCAATATCGTTTTTAAAGAAGGCTCAGTGAGTGTCACGTGTGGGGAGAGGGACACACCTGGGCTGCTGTGGTGTGCCTGAACATCAGACTCAAAAATGAGGGTCGCCTGAGCGGAGCAAAGGGACCCCGGGGAGGGGGCTGGCACCATGCTCACACCCCCTGCAGTTCCCGGCCTGCCCAGGAGAGGGCAGCAGGGAGGGAGAGGGCCTGCTCCGCGAAGCTGGGGCGCTAGGTGGGCTCTGGGGGAGCCTAGCTCCTAAGCACCGTCTGTGAACTAACTCTCTCTCTCTCTCTCTCCAGTTTATTTTCTAAGCGCCAACTGTTTACAGGAAATGTGGTGCTCCAGGGGAATGCTGGGGTGTCGAGGCCGCCACCTGAGCGCCTGCTCCGGATTCACCGGGCTGCGCCCCCATTCCTGCACGGCAGCTTTCATTGCAGGCTCCCCACGTTCGCAGGGGCAGACGGGCGTGCAGACCCCCTTGCCGGGGGCACACGGCACCTTCCCGGCCCCCGCAAGGGCACCGTCCTCCTGCCCCAAAGCACCTGCTGCGTGCGGCACACTTACCGGCTTCGTAAACCGTGTCTTCCTTGGACTTCAGTTTCGCGTCGAAACACACGGTGGCGTTGATGCACACGGTTTCCTTTCCCTCCACGCGGCAGTTTTTCTTCTGGATGTTCACTTTGTTTGGTTCAAAGCTCATGGTCACTTTAATGACAGCCACGTCTCGGGACCTAGACACGCGTAAACGGGGGTGATCACTCCCACATTTCTGCACATACAGGATGCCACCCTCGGGGGAGCCCAGAGGGAGTCATCGAAGAGGGTGGTGGTTCCCTGTGGATGGGCTGGGCTGTTGGGAACCGCCCTGCCTGGTTTCAGGAGCTGTAACCCCTCACCCCGCCATGGCCAAGGCTGAGTGAGGGACCTTCGGACCCTAAGCCACTAGGGAGACAAAGCTTATCTCCCTGGCAGGGGCATCGCCTCTGCTCCTTTTACTTCACCCTGCCTGGCTCCCAGTGCTTGATCAATTAGTCAATGATGGGGAAGATTCCTCAGGGGAGGGACGACCTAAGACAGGCATGGTCACAGGGGACCCCAGGGAAGGACTTGGGGGGCTATAGCAAAAGGGGGTGATGGACCCTTGCCCCTCGGCTTTGACATAGCCTGAGTCCTCATTCTGGCTGAAAGAAGTCTCCTAATCTCTTGGCTGCCTTACTTCCCCTGCCTGACTTAAGCCTGAAACAATGCCTTAAGCCTGAAGCAATGACAGAGGGTGGTGCAGCCCTGTGCTGGAAAGGGCAGGTTCTCTAGGGGGATCAGGCCTAAGAAAGAATACGTAAAATCCTGTGAAACCTGCTTTGTCTAGAATGCTCTCAATTAAATGATAAGGGCCTGGGCAGGAAATGAGTTTGTTCCTCAAAGTTTTATGGCTCTTTAGCTATCTGACCCTGACTCAGAATAGGCCCTCAGAGTTCTTTGTATGTTTTATTCCTACTGCCTGATAATGATGAATGAGCTTTACCTGTATTCTTGTGCAAAACAAACCCAATAAAAGCCTGCCAAGGCAAGGGTCCGGGCGCTCTCCCCTTGAGAGAGAAGCCGCGCCATCCCTTTTCCTCCACGGGTCTCGGTGATCTGTGCGAACCTGTCTTGTGTCTCATCCATAACGCCACAGACACCGCAGGCCGGTATCTGCATCAATGGGTCTTCCCGACTCCATTTCTCCGGGGAATTTATTACAGATGCAAATGTGTCTGGCCTTCTGGGGAACACTCGGGTTGCTTTGGAAGCATGCTAGGCTTTTGTTTATAAAGGAGAGCTGAATATGCCACTCCCAAATACGACCTACTGAGTTCAGGTCACGCCACCCTCCCCCACATGCCGCATTAATCTATGGACCATTTGGAGCTGCAGGGACAGGCTTTTCCAGAACTCCCTCGCCTGCCCAAAGACAGACCCTCCAAAAGGAACACAGTTGTCCCAAAAACCTCCCCGGGAGTGCCGTCAGCCAGGGAGCACCCGCGCATCACAGGGGAAGGGACTGGGGGCTCGCACCACACCCGGACCAGTGTCCTCACTAACCATCACCCTCCATCTCGTCTCCCGGGGCCGGGTCATCCTTCCTAGGAAGCCTCTGCTGCCCCTTGAAGATCAACCCTTTCCCTATTACAAGGGTATTGAGTGTGAACCCTAAGCCGCCTCAGGGAGTTAAGCATTTTCCCCGGGTATCGCCCACATATCCCTGAGGTGTGCGTGGCAATTTAGTTCAGGGCCCACAGTTCCAACAAAAACAAAAAGCACGTGCTCTTTGCTCCCGACACCGGTGACTTCTGGTCCCAGTGAGTCCTCCCCACGGTCACAGCCTCTTGCTGCCCAGCACTCTCCTTCCCCAGGCACGGCCTTTCAGTTTGCCTTTCCCTCCAGTTGTGTGTATCGCAAGTGTGTGCATCTGGTCTGTCCAGAGAAAGTGCAGCCATTGTTAACACGACGAGGACGGTTCGTGGGACCTCAGTGTAACCTGGCGGCCACGCAGAGTGGACTGGGGTGCGCATGTGTGAACACGGGTGACTTCACTGTACTGCTCAGTGGGGACAGTAGACGCCACTGAGTGAGCATGTGGACTGTGTGGCCGTCACATTCAAGATGACAGAGCGAGTAGAGCAAGGAATCTGCCTCAGATTTTGTGTTGAGCTTGAACATCCTCCACGGAAACTGTTCAGATGATTCAGAAGGCGACAGCTATGGGCCACTGCTGACTGGCAGCTTCATCATGACAATGCGCCTGCTCATGCATTACATCTCATGTGGAGCTTTTTGTTGAAGCATCAAATCACCCAGGTGACTCAGCCCCCCTACAGCCCTGATTTGGTGCCTGGCAACTTCTGGCTTTTCCCAAAACTAACATCACCTTTGAAAGGGAAGAGATTTCAGACAATCAATGAGATTCAGGAAAAGGCAACAGGGCAGCTGATGGAGACTGGGAGAACTGGGTGAGGTCCCCAGGTGCCTACTTTGAAGGGGACTGAGGCGTCATTGTCTTGTGTACAATGTTTCTTGTATCTTCTTCAGTAAATGTCCTTGTTTTTCACACTAACTGGCTGGATAAGTTCTGGACAGTCCTCATAGTTATATGCATAACAAGTGCATACATAGTTATATGTACTAGCTAAAAATTTCAAACATTTGGTTATAATCAGTGTGTAATTTAGTATACAATTTTTACTTGACCGTTAGTTTTATCTTAGGTTACAACAGTTACCAATTTTCCGGTCTCTGTGTTCCCCTCAATCTTTTGCAATTTTCTTTACCGCTCTTCTAGATGAAGTTTTGGGAAAAGAACCGTTGAGATTTTCTTCACCTGAATTACATTCAGCCAAAGGTCAATTCGAGAGAATCAGCGTGTGAGCTTTCCCCTGAGGCTCATGTCATAAATCTAGTTTTCACTTATTACGTCCTTCCTTTATATCCTTGATAACATCTGTAACGTTTTAAAAAATCATCATACAAAATTCTCACTGTTATTCTTCATATATTTTTAACCACTTTTTTCAAATAGAACCTATTTCAAAGTTGTTTTCAACTAGTTAGAGGTAGAGTTATTCATGCTATTAATAAGTTATTTTATTAATAAATAAAATGACATTAATATATGCATTTGACCCTTGACTAGGATTTTACAATTAATTGGAATTAATTTGGGGAGGCAGGCATTTTAAAGGCTGGGCAAATTAAGGGTTGATTCTATTTGTTCCTTTAATATGGTTTATTGACTTCCCCAGCTTACCGAACTGCGTGATTTCTGTCTGAATAATGGAGCACAGGAGGAAATTAGTTATTCTGTACGATTGAAAGCCCCCAGAACCGTGGGTGAACCACCGGATGCCCTGGGTGTTATTACAATGCCTACCAGAAGAGGGCGGCACCGCCCAGGCCGCCGATGGTCACGTCCGTCAGACCGTCCCCGTTCAGGTCCATTTCTCCGTGAATGGACTGGCCGAAGAATTTCAGTGTCTCGCCGTCTCCGCCCGATGGAATACGCTGTGAAAACCCGAGAGTTTCCATGTCAGAAGAGTGTCTTCCAGAACAGTTTTAAAGAAACCCGAGGACTTGCGTTGGTTAACACAATATTAAAATGAAACAACTTTTGGAGAGCGGCCCAAGAGGCACCCCCTCCCCCCCCCCGCCCCAATCTGGAGACGAGAGAAATGACCCAGATGTCCCCAAAGGATGTTCTTTTCAGAGCACAGACTAACCCCGCCAGGGTTCCTGACACCAGAGAGGGGGGAAGTCACACCGTGTCATTTTGCCCCGCTCCTCCAGGAGATCACTGTCATTGGCGCTGCCGCCCGGGGACGCAGAGACCCCCAAAGGCGCCGGGACCCTGGCAAACACACCGCACCAGCCGGGCGGAGCGGGAAGCGTCCCGGCCAGCCTGCGCGCTGAACTTGGCGCTGGCTGTCAGCCACGCCTTTCCACATGCACTCAGCTTCTCTGTCTGCCGAAACCTGTCCCGCGCGCCCAGGGCGCCACAGGCTCCCTCCACGCACAGGCGTCCTGGGCCTTGGGAGCGCGCGGTGAGTTCAAGGCCGGGTTTGTGCGCATCCCCACGCGCGATGTTTGACGCCTGTACTCCTGACTTACCTTTGGTTCAAGCTGGTAGTATTTTCACAGGGCCCCGTGGTGAGGAGACAGGGCAGGCGGACACTCCCTAAACTCGGGGCCTCCTCACCCTCCCATTTCCGCTCAGAAGTCATAAATTAAGAGGCCAAATGAGCAAAGCAAGTGGGGACATTTTTCATGCTTAAATGTTGGTGGCTCGTTGGGAAGTATTTCCTTACTTCCTCCCTTCCCCCCACCCCCAACAAACAAATCAGGAGACATCTGCATCCTTGGTTCTAGAAGAGTCCATCCAGTGTGATTCTGGGCCACCCCCACCCCACAGGCATGAGCAGCACCTCTGGTTGCCATGGAAACGAGGGGGCGTATCTCTGGGAAAATGTTCTGCCAATAATTAAAGAAGCTCAACTCGAATACTCTTTGTTGTTTAAATCTGTGTGTTGATGTAGCACCATTTTACAAAACACATTGCTCGTGACAACTCCATTCCATGGATTAATAATTTGAAACCCTCCCCGTGTGACTGCCAAGGCCTCCCCATCCGACGTGCAGGGTGGATGACGAAGGGTGCGCTGGCGGAGCTCACGGAGGAAGCTCCCCCAGGCCCCGGGACTCCAGGAAAGCGCATAACAGGGCGCCCCTTAACAGAAACAAGCCACTCACTAAACACAGAGCGGAGCTGGCTTGTTGCTGGGACGGGCCCTTTATTCTGTTCTTTCCCTACTAATGTCATCGTGACTCCGTGGCCGCTCAGCAAGACTTCTCCACACGCGAGTGAGACTGGAGAGTTGTGTGGGCTACGGCACCACGGAGAACGACCAAATGACAACAGAAACAATTAACGTTCTGATTTTCTCTTCCTGGCAGAGAAACTAGAAACTAGTAGATCCCATTGTGTTTCAAAGCATTGGCCCATGCCTCACTGTGGTTACTTAAAGACAATTCCACAGTTTTCATAGTGCAGTGAACGCTTCCGTGAGTCTATGTTTTTCTCATACAGGGAAACGTTACATTCGTGGATCAGAGCCACTAACGAACAGGGAGTTTAAAACAGGAACAACGGGAATCCCCCGAGGGCGAAGTCCAGTTACTCAGATGTGCTTTTCCCAGAGGGATTGCTGGTGAGAAAATGATAAACTTTTGGAAACCCAAATCCGTTTGCTGGAAATACACCAATCTACTTCCTAAATATACAGGCAATGAAGTTTCATGATTGATACTGACACTGAACTGATGCTGAACACGGATTCTGAACATGAAGCCAGTAATCTAATCTCCCTTCCTGGCCGAATCCCATGACGACTGCTCTCCGGTTCAGAAAGCCGTCCCCTCTGCTTTGGATGGGGCGCACTGCAGGCCTCGGGCGGCAGTGTGAAAAAGCGCTCTTCCGTCTCGTGCGTTTTTGTTTGCTTTTTACCATTTCAAAAGACCAGATTGAGGATATGTGGCACGTAAAAGAAAAAAACTAGATAAAAAAATGAAATACAAAGCAATTCTTCTCTCAAGGGGGAAGAGAAGGAGAAACCTAGCTTCCCGCTGGAGTCAGAAGACAGACACACGAACACCCAGGAGGCGGGCCCAGAGGCCTGGGGAGGACCACCCCAGCTCGGCCCCCCATCGGCACCCCCTTGGGCGGGTCGGCGGCGGTCCAGGCCCGCACCTGCGCAGGTGCGGCCTCACCTGCACGTGCTGCCGCCGCAGCGTCCGGCCGCTGCCGTGGTAGATGTACACGGCGCCCGCGTGGTCACCCTCCAGCGGCGCGCCGATCACCACGTCGTTCAGCCCGTCCAGGTTGAGGTCGTTCACGGCGGCGATCGCCGTTCCGAAGCGGGCCCCGCACGGCTCGTGCTTGTTCTTCTTGGTGCACGAGTTGTGCTTCACGGCCGAGCAGCACGTCTGCTTAACGGGCTCCAGGCTCATCTGGTACTCAAACCTTGTCTGGCGGAGAGACAGACAGGACGCTCGGGGACCTCCCCGGGACTGCGGCAGAGCCGGGGTTTAAGTGCGTCCTCAGTCGGCGCTGGGAAACCCATCGTGCATCAAAGGTCACGTTTGTCACATTTCCGCAACACCGGGTGGGGGCAGCGGAGAGAGATGTCAAAGAACAGAGTGCAGACGTGTAGGAAAGAAGACAGGTGGAGGATTTCAGTGGATTCTCTTTCTAACGCAATTGAGTGAGTGTGCCACTCACCGCATCTGTTTAAAGCAAAAGAAGTGAATTTTGAAACCCTCAATTCACGTCACTATCCTTTCTTAGTACAATGTTGTGCTTTTCTTTGAAAAGTCTTGGGTGGAAATGGGAGGGAGGTGGGGAGGGATGGGTGGGTGGGCTGGAATTTGAGTAAAGGGCAGAAAACTGTACTTGGACAATGATTAAAATAAAAAAAAGTAAAGAAAAAAGAAAAGAAAAGTCTCTACCTGTTCAAAAGCCAACTTTCCCCAAACCTCTCTAGAGTGAGAAAAGCCGAAAGCTCAGGAAAGGCCAGGAAGTACGAGCAACCGTGGGCAGGAACACGGTTTCCCAGGAAAAGGAGAGAAAGAGTACAGGGCACAGAAAAGTTGATGGGACCCTCCACAAACAAACAAACAAACAAACACACCTCTTCCAATGCAGAAATGGAGAATGATTTCACCTAACAAAGAATGTCCGAAGTCAGGGGAGGAAACGGAATCTCACTCCAGGCCAGTGAAGTGTCCAAAGACCTCGGTGGTTTGCTGAAACTGTCCGCTGTCAGTGCCTTAAACTTCCCTGCCCACCCCCCCAAGCCTGCCCCCGCCCCCAGCCCCCCCCGCAGGCCTGTGCGGTCACTGCCGCGCTCCGGGCCGGAGCTCAAGGATGGCTGCCCGTGACTTGACTTCGCAGTTCAGTGAGGTGCACAGTGGTCTTTATCCTACACACTCTGTTTAAAAAGAATAGTTCCCATTCTCGAAGCAGAAAACATCCACTGGCTCGAAGTACTGTATTAGAACTCCCGAAATCTTCTTTGCTTCTTTTTGCAAAGTGAGTGAAAAGTTAGAGACTACGTTCTCGGTCTGAAATTCAAAGAAGGGAAGAGACTCCCCGGCGGGCCCCTTACCTGGTCCACAGAGTACACGTACACCTTCCCTTGCTCCTCCTTCTCCGCGCCCATGAACGTGGGCGCGCCGACCAGCAGGATGTCGGTGTTCGAGTCTCTGTCGACGTCGACCGTCGTCAGGACGCTGCCGAAGTAGGAGCCGATCTGGGACACAAACACACCCAACCGGCCCCGTGGGCCTCAGAGGTTCTCGAGGAAGCGGAAACCCTGCGTTTCCTTCCCCTGCACCAGCCCAGGCGAGCCTGGGAGACTCAGGTGGCAGAGCACACGAGCGACAGAGACGGGTGCCACCTGGAGCTCTTGGCTGGCTCTCGCGTGAGGGTGATGGCTCGTGCCACCCCTCCCTGGGGAGGGGCAGCTGTTAGAGACTCCACAGCTTAAAAGAAATGATTCCCTTCAGAATCATCCACGCCCCCCACCCAACACACCTTTCTTCTCCACAAATCAGAGAAGATCGGTAACACTGCAGTGACTTTCTTTTACAGGACATGAAATGAGATAAGCCAGAGAAGGCGTTTGGAAGCGCTTTGGTGCGTGTTTACACGCAGCGGTGTGAGCACCGGCACCAGCACATGTCTCGGGGGGGGGGGGGCGACGGGTACGGGGACCCTAGGGCGGCACGTCTCACCCGGGAGTAGACACCGTCTGATGAGAAGCTCCCCGGTCCCCACGCTACAAACGATTTCCAGTGACCTCCAGGAGCGAAGGCTCACTCCCCCACCTGTCACTGACCGCCTCACACCGTCCGGGCCCACGTTCTTCCCAATCGGCTTTCTCACGGCTCCTCCTTCCTGCTCACCTCCCGGCTTTCCTCCTAGACCCCCTGGGTTTCGTCTCCCAGGGAGTCTAAGACCTCCTGCACCCGCCTGAGCCGAAAACCATCTTCCCGCCTTCCGAGCGTACAGTGGGAGTCACGGCCAACCCTACTTCCTGAGGTTTGCTCTCTCTCTCTTTTTAAAATATTTATCCATGTGTGCTTTTTAAGATTTTATTTATTTATTTTTAGAGAGGGAAGGGAAGGAAAGAGAGAGAGAGGAATATCAATGTGTGCTTGCTGGGGGCTGTGGCCTGCAATCCAGGCATGTGCCCTGACTGGGAATCGAACTTGAGATGCTTTAGTTTGCAGCCTGCGCTCAATCCACTGGGCTATGCCAGCCGGGGTGCTCTCTCTTTTCTTGTACTCAGGTTTGTACCCCAGTATCTGTGTCTGCTCTCTCTGCATCTTCGCTACACCCCCATCCAACCAAAGTCATCCAGCAGCTGAAGACCCAGGAACCTACCCCCATTCCGTTCTCAGCTGAGGTGGAATGGGGGGTTACTGGTTTTCTTTTCAGTTAGGGAATACACACTTAAGTTCAATGTACACGGAGTAAGAATGGATTAATTCACAACAATAATGGCCCAGCTTACCTGCTCTCCGTGGAGGGTCTGGAGAATCTGGATGTCCCCACCTTCCATGCGGTAGATGACCACCTGGCCCGTGTGGTTGTACCGGGGCTGGCCCGCGATGTACAGCACGTCTCCGGGGACGGTGGCGGAGGTGACTGTGTACCCTGCCACAGGAGAGATGCCAGATGTGTGCACGGCCCCTTCCCGTCCGCACCCACTAAAGCAAGGGCCACTTCAGATGGCTGGGGGAATCACCTCTGTGTTATTACACGGACTTCCTTATTTTTAAAAAACAAACGTCTGTATGTTGAACACAGATAAGTTTGTTTTGGTAGAAGCTTTGAATGTGCTCTCTGATTAACTACCACAAGTGTTTTGTCCTAAAAAGGTATTTTTCCCCCAACCTCAGTTTTCCTTTATTTAAAGGCACAGATAATACAACAAAGAGGACGGGGAAAAGAAAATAAACTCACTACATAATAAATCAGTCCTATCTCATCTGAACACGTGTGTCTCTGTGCTACAGAAATTAATAATGTTATATAGTTGGCATCATAGCAAATGTAAGGCTTTCCTGTGCAGTGGCCTAGGTTTTAAATTATAATTTTAAATGCTTGAAGTGATCTCTCTGAGTAAAAGCTTAAAGGCTCGCATTTACACTACAGGACTGTTCCCTGATGGCATGGTAAAATTCAGGTGTTTTTAACTTTTTGGTATTACACGTAAGCCTTGGAAAGACAGCTTTCAATATTCAACTTTTTTTCTTTCTTTTGTATTTTTTTGGTGGTAAATTTTAACGACTAGCTTACCGGATCAAAATATTAATGGTTCTTTGGCAAATTGTTTCCAGAACATTTGTACTAATTCCACGAACAACTAGTAAAGGAGAGAAGAGTTTTCGTCAAACTCTTCCAAACACGATGTATCATTACTAGTATCTATTTGTGGATATTCTAAAATATGCTCAACATAATCTAATAGAAGGAACTTGCTGTGGTTTTAATCTGCATTTGTTTGATTAAAAGGGAGGGCGGCCCAGGCCGGGCAGCTCAGCTGGTTAGAGTGTTGCCCCGGTTCGCCAAGGTTGCGGGTCCGATGTTAGGACACAGGCAGGGGTCAGCCAATGAATGCATCGGTAAGTGCAACAGCAAATGGAGGTCTCTCTCTCCCTCTTAAAAATCAATACATTAACTGCTTGAACAGCTTTTCATGTTTCATCATTCCTCCTTTGAATTGGGCTTTCATGCCCTTTAGAATTTTAAATTGAATCTTTAAAACAAATTATGATTTATTTCTGAGCGAAGAATTCGATGTGCTCTTTGTGTCTCTAGAGAACAGAGCTAATCAATAAACAAAAATGACCACCAGCAGATGTCAGCTGTGCAGAGGAAGACGTGTTCTAATCACAGGAGTGGAAAGCAGACTAATTTTGAAAATGTCCCAGAACAGTATTTCTCACTGGGAAAAAGATTATATTGATAATTTACCTACCAAGTATCTCACCGTAAGGTAATAGTTGCACTCTCTTCCAGGATTTTGATAAAGAAACAGGTTTTTGTACCGAAGTGTGCCTTATGCTCACAAGTGCTACAGAAACATGGTTCCTTGGGCCTATTTTCCTCATGAATACTTTTCTCACGTTATTTCTTCATCCTCCTTTGAGCATCTAAAAGTTACTACACCTAATAAACTATTCTTCTTCAAACTGTAATGTGCCCTATTTTCATGTCACTGACTAGAATATTGCTTGAAAGTAACACTGTAGGGTCCTGTCTACACACGAATCAAACGGAGAAGAAGAAGGAGGGAACCCCGCTGGAGTGCGCGGTGCTGCTCTGCGGAGAAATACCCAGCGGAAGCGAGGTGAGTGGGTGTGGGTTAGGGTTAGGGTTAGGGTTAGGGTTGAGGGGTTAGGGTTAGGGTTGGGGCTAGGGTTAGGGTTAGGGCTAGGGTTAGGGTTAGAGTTAGGGTTGGGGCTGGGGCTAGGGTTAGGGTTAGGGTTGGGGTTGAGGGGTTAGGGTTAGGGCTAGGGTTAGGGTTGAGGGGTTAGGATTAGGGGTTAGGGTTGAGGGGTTAGGGTTAGGGGTTAGGGTTAGAGTTAGGGTTAGGGTTAGAGTTAGAGTTAGGGTTAGGGTTAGGGCTAGGGTTAGGGCTAGGGTTAGGGTTAGGGTTAGAGTTAGGGTTAGGGTTGGGGTTAGGGTTGGGGTTGAGGGTTTAGGGTTAGGGCGAGGGTTAGGGTTGAGGGGTTAGGGTTAGGGGTTAGGGTTAGGGTTGAGGGCTTAGGGTTAGGGTTGAGGGGTTAGGGTTAGGGTTAGAGTTAGGTTTAGGGTTAGGTCTAGGGTTAGGGTTGAGGGGTTAAGGTTAGGGGTTAGGGTTAGGGTTAGGACACCCTGCCCCCTCCACTTCTTTTTATTTTCAGAATGAGAAATGCCGACCAATGAAAAAGAACGTTTACAAGCAAGTGGAGAACTATGTTTGCGGAAAGAACGTGGGGCTGAGTGCGCGCTCGTGGCGCCAACAGATGGTTGCCGCTCGGTAAGGAGGGCCGTTTACCAGCCGGGACCTTCGCGGGGACCTTGGCGGGGACAGTCCCTGGTGGTCAGGGGGCTACTGGCTGCAGCTGGGCCGGCGAGCGACAACGTGGAGGCCCAGGGCAGGGCCGGTTTGGTGGAAGGAAGATAATTACAACAAGCACGCTCACTCCTGCTCTGGGAGAAAGGAAAGCACAGAACGAAAGGACCGCGGATGCAGAGTATAGGGCCCGCCCTCCGCCCTCATCCAACCCCGGGGAGGCGGGCTGGGACTCTCGCGTCTCCCACGATGAGGGATCAGCGCACCAGTGGGGGCGGGGGGGGGGCGAGGCCGGGAACAGGCTCCTGCCGGATTTCTCACCATTACAACCCCTCGCTAAGTGCGTTTGGGGACGAGCCAGTTAGTCCCTGGGTCACCGCAAGCTGGGCCCTGGCCGGCCCCTGAGCCACGGTCAGCAGCTCCTGCTCCTCCACTTTCTGATGTTGGTTGGGGGGGGGGACGGGTTAGCGGAACGTTGGCCTCTTCGCTCCCCCGTCATCCCTCCCCGGTCATCCCGACGGCTTGCAGCCCCATAGATCCCAGCCGCCCGCTGAGACTCTTCTCCATTCGTCACCCGCTCCAGGAAACCCCTTAAAAGCCTCATTTCAGATTTAGAATGATATTTTGGAGACAAAAATAGCTACTTTTCTCCCCCGCCCTCCTTCCTGGGCGCTTTTCTGTTGTGAAGGAAATCTTACATGGATGCGCATTCAGCTTCATCTTGGCAACATGTTTTGGGCGCTAACCTGTGCCTAAGCTAACGGAACGATTTCCTGAAACGGAAGAAACCTCACGGGAGCACGGGGTGGACCACACACTCTCCAGCGCTCTGTGTGAGCAGAAAGGAATCATGTACCAAAATGCTCTGGTCGGGAATGAAGCTTCTCTTAGTTTTTCCTCGCTGGCTGAGGTGGCTTCAGGTTGTGAACTCTCTTAGTCTGCTGTACGCCGCCATTCACCCGAGCTTTCCAAGAATAACAGATGGAGGATTCTTTAAGAATATTTGCTTTTGAAGAACCCAGTCACATAACGACAGCACAGAGTACCGGAAACACTGCAGCGTTATCATGAAAGTGGTGGGTGCCCTTCCCGCGTGACGATGCCGCACACACCCGGGTGGACTCCTTCCAGGTCTGTCTGGGCGTTCGCGCACACCCCAGCACTGACTCGTCGTGGTGTGGAGACAGCTACTGTTCGTCTTACGGGCCATACACAGGCACTGGTTTTCCGTTGCTGTGGCGACAAATGACCGCAGACTGGGCGGCCGAACGCCTCTCAAATGTATCATCTTACGACGAAGCGAAAAGTCTGCCTGGGCCGACACCGAGGTTTGGGTGGGGGGAACGCATTTCTTTGCTCTCCTGGCTCCTGGGGACCACCAGGTGGTCTGCTGATCTCAGAGCCAACAACGACATCGCGGTCTCCAGCCATTTCCCTTGTCCTGGCTCCCTGCGGGCACGCCCCGAAGACAGTCTCCGAGAGGAAGAGCCCGTGGGACTGGCCTGCACCTGGCCAGGTAACCCAGGGCAAGGTCTTTGTCTCAAAGTCCTTAACGTGATCACATCTGCAACGTCCCTTTTGCCATAAAAGGTCTGGGTCCGGGGATTAGGACATGAACCTTGGGGGGTCGTCAGTCTGCCGACCACAATACTCGTAAGAGGGGTGTTTATTATGCAACATCCCATGATAGTAAAGCAATAGACAACACCTAGTGAGTGTTTGCAATCTGTCAGGCACGAAAGTAATCAACTTAGAGGTGTCGATTAATACTCCTAACAATCCAAAGGATATATATGTACCTATAACTATTGTACACATACAGGAGTTATTTCCATATTAGAAATCAGCAAATTGAAGTTCTGAGGAATAAAGTAGTTTTCCTAAATTCCTAGCCAGGGGCAGAGTCAGAAAGCAACCCCGAGTCCCTGTGACCTCACGGCGTCTCCGACTGCCCCCCAGGGCCCTCGCCCCTGTTGGTCCTTGCTGTCACAGGAGCAGCGGCTTCATAACCTTCACTTTCACGGGCACGTGCCGTTCTGTCGGGTGCATTCGCCGTTCACTGAGCTAGTCCCGCACTTCCCGACACCGAGGACCCACTGTTTGCCTGTCACCATAGACACCAGTTCAAGGAAGACCATGGCTCAGCGGCTGCTCTTAAATAACTGAGTGTTTTCATAGGTGAGCGCCTCGGAGGGAAAGCTCCGGTCGATGTGGCGCGAACACGTGTATGGCTCTGCCGCACGCTGCCCGCCGGCCTTCCCGAAGGGTTATGCTAATTCCTGCGCCGCCCTTCCACGTGAGGACGAGTGTCCCACGGTTCTTCCAGCGAGGACGGGAAGGAGCCTCAGGTTTCCCTGGTCCTCAATGGCAAGGCATCTCCCATGAAACAGCCCCATGGGGTCTGAGAACACAAAGGACCCCCGGAAGCCGTCTGGTCTCGGCTCCTGCCGACCGTCCGGTGTTCCGCGATGCGGTGCGTGTCACACCAGCGCTGGTTGTTTGGTTCGCTGTCTGGCACCGCTCACCCCAAAACGTAGCTTCTTCAGCCAAGGGACAGATGCGCCTTAGTTGGCTGCTTGTCCTCTACCCTAACTGCGGGCACTTGTTATTTTTGGTGCCTCTGAGCAGCCCAGGGCCAGGCGTTCTGCAGAGTGACGTGAACACGGGAGTAAGAACCGAGAGCCCGGCGTGCTGGCCTCAGGTTGCCTCAGGGCGCTGCGACACCGTCTCCCTGTTCCTCAGTCTCTCACTTCGGAAAATCACGGGTTCACTGGGCGCCCTTTCAGACCTCCTTGAACTCCGTATGAATCGGAAGCCTAGCTGCCCCGTGTCACACCGCAGTCCTCCCCTCCGTTCAGTGACACGCTGGGGCGCACTTGGCTTTCTAATAACCATTTTCCTCGAGTTTTGGGGGGAGAGGGATGGGCAGAAGGCGTTTGCTTCCAGATCTGTGACCTTTAGATAATCTTCCAAAGACAGAGTTTGGCATTTTCTTTTGTAACGCGTGATGCTTAGGACAATGCATGGGTACGGGAGCTGCTCCCCGACCAGGCCAGAAGCTGACGGGACTTTAATGAGAAACAGACTAGGCCTTCACGAATGCATTTCAGTATGTCTTAGGGGTTTGCGCACTCACAGTATAGCTGCTGCTTACCATTCTGTGTTTTTCTTTATCTTAAAAACCTCAGGATTCTATTCTTTTTAACTTTTGTTGCCTTTATGGCTTTAATGTGTGCCCTTGAATCAGGAGATGCATGAACCCACCAGTAAAATACCCGTTACCCTCCTTCTGAGATGGGAAGAAACTGGGAGAAAGAAAAAGACTCACTTCCAGGACAGAAAAGCACCAGAGAGGAATGCCAGCATGCTAAGATACCAGCACCAAAAAAAAAAAAAAGAAAGAAAGAAAAGGTATTTGTTTCCATACCTCTGCGGCCCAGCACCAAGAACCATGCCTGGGGCAAAAAAGAAACTTCCAAAATATTTGCTGAGTGAGTGAAGAGCAGGGGAATCAAACCTTGAGGGTGGTGCTTGTCATCCTCCGCTCTTCCAGCTGTCGCTGAGACCAGTTAGCGACACAAGAGGCCAGGTACCCCACCCCCCCCGCCCCGGACACAGCCCCTGCCCGGCGCCGACCCCAGTGAGTGAGGGCGGACACCCCCTCCTCAGCCCAGGCAAGCGTCTGGGAGAGGGGCTGAGGTCGCACCACTGGGTGCAGCTTCGGTGTCTGCCTTGTTGGACAGAGCCACGGAGCAAGCAGCCACGTAGCAAAACGATTAGAATTTCCTTTACAAACAAAAGCTGACAGAGGACGTCTGAGGGACTGTGGGTAGGCAGCAGGAACATACTGTGCACTTAAAGACTGGTTCAGAGAGGGAATGTTACGCTCAGTGTTTTTCTCGCAATGAAGCACGCGTCTGATTTTTAGGGTACCAGCTGGCTCAAGGTTTCCTTTCCTAGCCTCCCCTACTGTCCCCCAGGAAGGAGACTGAAACCCAAGAGAAGGCCAGCCCAGGGCGGCCTCCGAAAGGGCACTGCCCGCCTCAGGCACCTGCTGCACCCGACGCCCTTCCGAGAAGGAAGGGCTCCCGCACTCCGTGGCTTCGACTCCGGCTGCTCGGCGACCCCGAGACTCACTCTCACAGGCCCCGCAAGGCCGCTGACTCTTGGCAGGGCTCTGTGTACACGGTGCGAAGCAGGCCAGCACAGACTTGAGCAGACGATGCTGAAAGCAAGACCAAATGGAAACCCGGTAACCTGCTACCGATGGCTGCCGACCTTACCTAGGTAGGAGGCGAGCGGCTCCTTCTTCCTGGCGGACTCCGCGTTGAAGGTGGCGTTGTGGGGGATGATGATCCGGCCAGCTCTCTGCATGACCACCGTCCCGTTCCAGTCATAGGCTCCCACCGCGCCCAGCATGACCCACTCCTGACCGGGAAGGAGAAACGCTGACATTGCACCAGAGCAGCAGGTGCAAACCCTTACACAGCACGGACCGCGTGACGGGACGGGAACCCCTCGAAGTGCTGTGGGCACAGCGACTCGCTTCACCCTCACGACGACCGTGGGGGCTGGACGCCGTCATCCATCACCACATGCACGTGACAGAAGGAGGCGCGGAGGCCGGTGAGTGTCCTGCCCCGGGCTCGACGGCACAGTAGTGCCCCGAAATGCCCTTGTGCCCCCGCAGGGACCCCGGTGCCTTCCCTCCCACCAGCTACAAAGGAAAACCCTTGAAGATGTGAACACTGAGAAAAAGACACATTCAGTATCATTAACAAATGTTTTTTTAAATGAAGTATTTCACTTAGCCAGACGGAATCGCTACATAAGGTGGACCTCAAACCCGGATTCACAATTATTACCAAGTAGCAGCTGGGCAGGAGAATGTGTTTTCCAACTGGGACCCTTGTGGATGCCATCTGCCTCCTTGGAGCAGACGTGTCCCCACGGTCTGAGTGACCGCTCAGGCCACAGACCACAAGCTGCGCGTGTAATGCCCACGCCTGGGTACTGGTTTGGGGAGGGAACCTCAGAAAATAGGTATCTCATATTCCTGAAACATCTTCGTGAACCATCTTTTGTTTTCTTGAAACGAAGGAAGCTATTCCATTTTCAGGCGGTCCACGTACCTGTGAGTAGTGCGCGCTGAAGCCGGTCTGCGACATCTCCATCTCGAACGAAGCGGCGGACTGGTCGGCCGTGGCTGCAGCGTGGGAAAGGAAACGCCCGTCAGCACGCTGCCCACTCGAGGGAGACGGGGACCCCGTCCGGCCGCGGTCCTCGCCAACCACAGCCCTGACATCTTTAGGGCGGTTTTCGGCCACGCGTCTCTCAGGCGAGAACCCCTAGGCCGGGCTGGAGAGGGGGTGGCTCTGCGGGGGGCGGGGGGCTCGCCTCTGCTCACGTGCTGGGGTTCTCGCTGTGTCCTCACACACTCGTGTGCTCGACCCCACCGGGTGAGAGCGGGGGGCCCTGTAGTTGGGATCCTGTGGCCCTGGGAGCTCTCCTGGGACATTAGCCCAGACTTGCCTGGCGCCTCCGGGCCAGGGCGCTCCATTCCCATTGGAAAGGGGCCTCTCGCTTCCACCGGCCCCGCCCGTGCGTCTGGCCAGAGATCCTCTCAGAATCCCGCGGTTGATGGAGGTGGTGCGGATGCTGGGCTCGCATTTGCTCTAATTTCTGGCTGCGGATCTCGCTGACAGATGAGGAGGGGCTTTGTGACAGGGCTCTGGGCCACATGCCACTCACAATCATATATATATATATATATGTTCCATTTCCATTTTGGAGTTCTTCACTGAAAGCAGAGCTAATCCTGAGTACTCCATGGAAGTGTCCTCCTCTCAAACATCCCCCACCCCAAAGCCACCGCCTCCTGAGGGGACCGAGGGGACACTGATTTAGTGGCTTTATGTAGGGAGTTACTGATTTATTTGGCCTTGTAGATAAGTTAAAAATAGAGCATATTTTCAGACTATCGGTCTGCCCCTGCACTGAGGCATCAGATTCATCAAATCTGTGGAATCAAACTTACTTACTAGTTATTTCCTGGCATGAATTTGTTAACGAGCCCATCTGTGAGTGCCTTTTTCATAGGACAGGCTTCAGTGGGGAAATCGAGCAAGCATTCAAATATATCATTTAATCTTGTGAATGAATTCCCTCTCATTGAAATGACTGAGAGGCACTTTAACTTTAATTGGAAACTTTACGTTCACAGTACTTGGAGGTGCCTCCTCACTGATCTTTGCCAGATTGATTATAAGAAGGCCATATATTTTTTTGCAAATGATACCTCGGACAGGGTCTGATCTCCAAAATATATAAAGAACTCACACAACTCCACTCCAGGAAGACAAACAATCCAATTAAAAAATGGGCAAAGGACCTGAATGGACACTTCCCGAAAGAAGACATACGGAGGGCCCAGAGACATATGAAAGGATGCTCAGCATCACTAGGCGTCAGAGATGCAAATTGAAACCACAATGAGATACCACTTCACACCAGTCAGAATGGCCGTCATAAACACATCAACAAACAACAAGTGTTGGAGAGGTTGTGGAGAAAAGGGGTGCCTACTGCACTGCTGGTGGGACTGCAGACTGGTACAACCACTATGGAAAGCAGTGTGGAACTTCCTCAGAAAACTAAAAATGGAGCTGCCTTTTGACCTGGCAATTCCACTGTAGGACTATATCCTAAGAACTATGAAACACCAATCCAAAAGAACCTTTGCACCCCAATGTTCATAGCAGCACAATTTACAATAGCCAAGTGCTGGAAGCAACCTAGATGCCCATCAGTAAATGAGTGGATCAAAAAACTGTGGTACATTTACACGATGGAATTCTATGCAGCAGAAAGAAAGAAGGCGCTCCTACCCTCTGTGACAGCATGGATGGAACTGGAAAACATTATGCTAAGTGAAATAAGCCTGGCAGTGAAAGACAAACACCATATGATCTCACCTATAAGTGGAACCTAAACAACAGAACAAACAAGCAAGCAAAATATAACCAGAGACATTGAAATAAAGAACAAACTGACAGTAACCAGAGGGGAGGGGAGTGGGATGATGGGGGAAAATAGGGGACGTGTCATCAAGGAACACGTGTAAAGGACACGTCCCACGGACAAAGCCAAAGGGGGTAGGCATGGTAGGGGGAAGATGGAGATAACTGTACTTGAACTACAATTTAAAAAAGGAGAGAGAGAGAGAGAGAGAGAGAGAGAGAGAGAGAGAGAGAGAGAGAGAGAGAACGCCAGCCCTTTCCCGGGCTGCTGTTCTGCTGGTAGCTGGGGATGGCCTGTAGATCCCCATCACGTCTACACGGGACTTTCTACAGACCGCTTGCGATCCAGGCATGAAACCAACATGGTGAGTCTCGACCAGCATTTTTTTTTAATTGAAAGAGAAGAGGATAGAAGGGAAGGGATGGGAAAATACCAGAGTGCCTTGCATATAATAAAGGTTATTTTGTGAGATTTTGTGGGTGCCCTGGGTCACAGAACAAACTCTGTTATCGTGGGTCTGTGTCAGAAACAGTTTGAGGGCCACTGCTCTAAATTAGTTCCTTCCCTCTCTGCACATTTTAACTCCCTGTCACCGCCTCCTGCCTTTCCCTCGCCACCGGGTGCTCAGAACGGTCCTCGTTTTCTGAGTCCCGGCCGTCCCGCTCCATCTCCAGGTTTCCCACTCTCAGTGCAGAGCGGGGAGACGAGAGCACGCCTCCAGATGTCCGTGTGTAAGGTACAACTTTCTGTCTAAGGGCTTCTTTCCCGTCCTTCCGTGTGTCCTCACGAGGGCAGACACACCCGGATCAGGATGCAGTCCGTGCTGGCGGCTCACCCTGGGCGAGGAAGGCAGCTTGTCCTCGGACTGTCCAGGCGATCAGAGAATGTGCAGGAAAACAGAGACTTTTCCAGTTTGCCTGACATAACAGTGGTGAAAACTTCTCTTCTGTCAGGAAGGATCTAGTTCCGCAGTCAGCGGTTACCTGCCACCGTGTCCCTAGGGCCCTGACTCGTCATCCTGGATGACAAAGCAAAGACAAAGTCTACATAGAAGTGACACGACTTAGATGAATGCAGGGAGGTGGCGCCTCACAGCCCGGGCTCGAGGCAGCGTCCCGGGAAGACCTCGCAAAGGGGCGAGGAGCGAATGGGAGAAAAGAAACGAACAAAGAGGTCACCGCACAAGAGCAGACCCACAGACACCCCAAAGGAAAAATGACAATGACAAAACTTGGACAAGCATCTCCATTTTGTGACCACTGGTTAGAAATCATGGTTTCTTTTTTTTTAATCTTTTTTTTAATCTTTTTTAAAAGATTTATTTATTTTATTTTTTAGAGAGGGAAGGGAGGGAGAAAGAGAGAGAGAGGGGCATAAATGTGCGGTTGCTGGGGGCCATGGCCTGCAACCCGGGCATGTGCCCTGACTGGGAATCGAACCTGCGACACTTTGGCTCTCAGCCTGCGCCCAATCCACTGAGCTACACCAGCTAGGTAGAAACCATGGTTTCTAACGTTTTTGTCCCCGTGGGTCTCCCTGCCCATCGCCTCCACTGGCGCTCACGTCAGCACTGCCTGTCCCCGACACACACAGCTCCCCGCAGACCCCACTCTGGGCAAGCCTGCCGTCTGTCTGGGCGACAGATTCCCAGGAAAGGACAGTGTTCCACGCTGGCCACTGAGCACAGCAAACATGCGTCAGCCACGTGGTGGGAACTGACGTCGAAGCCCCGTTACCACGCGTTCGGGCCGCAGGCGGAACGTGCAGAACAAGGGGACACGGCCGCACCTTCCAGGGCAAATATCCTCTCTCCCAGGGCCTCCACGATGGTGACGAGCGCCAGTTCGTCGGAGACGTTGAAGAAGTGCTTCTCCGTGGGCTCACTCGCGATGGACTTGATCTCCTCCACGAACGCCTCGGTGCTTAGGTTCCCTCGGCTGTAGCTGCCCAGGATCTAGGATGCAACAGAGAAGGCAAGAACATATTTTAAATGCTATGCACTAAACAAGGATCTCAAGCATCTTGTCGGTAAACAAGAGGTGGTTTAGTATCTTAGCATAACGCGATTTTCATGGACTTCCACCTTCTTGGGAGAATAATGACCAGAACACATAGACTCTTTAATACTAACTGTTGCATACGATAGTTGGTATGGGAGAATTTAAGGGCGATCCTGTACATTCGTGAAAGTCTCCTCTTTTGTACTCCCGTGTACTCGTTGATTAACAGCCGCGTCTCTGAGATCTGACGGTTCAAAAGTAATGGTATGGTTTCTGAGTGTCTCTCCATGTCGCATTAGGCTGGCCAGTGACATCACTGTTTGCTGGCAGAGCAATTGAGTTAGCAAGTGAGTTGCTTGACCTTGAACTGGCAGTTCTTCCTGAACATCTCACCGAGGGGCAGTCTAATACATGTATATTTTAAACAGATACTAGACTCAGAAGCAATCTCACTTGGCAATCTGGAAAATGAGCAATCGAGACTTCCTGTTTGAAGCCCAGCGCTGCGGGTTGGGACATCTATTTTCACAGAGGAGGGAGGCAGGGATGCTCTGTTATGGTTAACTGCAATTGTTTAGATATCCTAGGAGGCTTTCTCAAGCGTGGTTTATTTTCTAAAGTAAGGCTTATTGAGATGTAATTTGTATGCAGTGAAATCCACCCTGTGTCGGTATCTGATTTGGGGTCTTGGCGAACCTCTCCTGTGCGGCTCCGCCACACCGGGGAGCAGGACACGCCCATCGCCCCGAAGTTCCCTCTTCTCCGCCGCAGCCCGTCCTCCTCTCCCCCAAACGGGTCAAGTTCAGTGGGGAAAACGCCCAGACGATACACTTAAACAATAAATACGGAGCTTATAAATGAAATACGGGAGTACGTGTTTTGAAGAAAATGTTAAGAGAAGAGAATTTCTGTGAATTACTGGGACTTGCATCCAGCTGGAACGACTCTGCGTTACAGGATAAACACAAAAACAGAGAGAAATGCATTTTGGTCCTGCACCCAAGGGTCTCCGGTAGCTTGGAAAAACATCATCTCCCACGAATGGGAAGAGACACACGACGACCCACAAATCACTCCCATCTCCCTAATGGCGAGTGTGCCAAGGCCAGGCACTGGGCGTCCTGCTGACGTGACCCCGAAACCCAGACTCAGAGCTGGAGGCCCCTCGAGGCGGATCCATCAAAGGTAAAGTGTTCACTTCACGTCCGGGTGGAGCGGTGCCTTTTCTCTGCCAGTGCGTGAACTTCTGAGATACTTCCCGCTCCTCCCGTTTCCATGTGACTGCTCTGGGCAGGTGATCCTGTCCCGTGCGGGCACAGTCCCGGCCAGTGTCCCTGAAGGTGAGAGTCTGAACATAAAACGGGCCTTTGCCGGTGGTGTCTGATGTCCCCGAGTGACAGACTAGGGACCAGGGACCAGAGTGTCCGAGGCAGTCCAGGACTCGCACCAAGCCTGACCGTTTAATGGGAAATGTTGGCCAGGCTCTCACAGACACGGCTGATCCTTTTAGTCGTCGGTCCGGTTTGGGCACTCTGGGCCCGCCCCCAGCTCTGCGGCATTGGAGATCCCACGGTGGGTAGGAAACAGTGGGGTCAGAGGAACTTTCCAACTGATAACCGCTGGTCCCCGCGGCAGACCGGCTCCTGAGCGGCGTGCGCGGGTCTCGAGAAACGCGTCAGACCTTCCGTGGGACCGCGCCAGGCAGGGAGTGCAATCCCTGTCCCATCACCTGGTCTGGCACAAACGAAAAGCACACAGCATCCACCGGGGAGAAGAAATAGGAGTTGGGAAAACAACAAGTAGTTACTGCTAGCGTGAAATTTCCTCACGCGTTTTTATTCATACCATTTCGAAGAGCAATTTGATAATACATAATTCATCGATTAAGATGGGAAAGGAACTCATGCTTTCATGGTTCTCCAGGAAGATGAATGCAATTATGGGACCTCTCGGGGACCCGAGGCGAGGCAGAGTTTGACGAGTGAACCAGGGGCCCAACGAACAGAAACATAGTGAAGTGACAGCAAGAAATGCCGAGCGTGTAGCCAGGTACACTGTAAATAAAGGCGATGGAAGATGCGCTTACAATTACAGAGTCACCCACGGATAGCTACTTCCTTCCCAGTGAAGTTTCCCTGAGGTGTTCATGCCTCGGACGGTTCACTCGGTCCATGGCCTGACTCTGCGACACCTGGGGTGCTAGACTACGCCCTCTGGGGCAAGCTGAACAAACGATAGCCCCACCTTTGGCACCCAGTTGTCGGGGGCAGGGTGGGCACCCCTGGCTGTGCCCACTGAAGAGACCAGCCGTAGACCCTCCGCGTGGGTGGTATCCCCGAGTGAAGGCCGGGGGGGTACGGAATCGTCTCAACCGTGGGAGACATGGAAGTAGTTACAACACCGGAGAGGCAATAATGAACATTAAGTGCCAAAGGATAATTCACGGCAGTAAAACAAGGGTAAAGAGAAACCGATTTGCTTTATTCGATCTCCTTCTCCACGTGAAAAAGCAAACGGTGCAGTGAAAGCTGGTCACTGCGCGCAGCCCAGGGGAGGGCTGGAAACGCGGGCTGGACGCAGCCGTGAAGGCCCTGCAGCTGACCGTAGGTTTGCTGTCTGGGGGGTGGGGGGGGGCATCTCGGAAGGTTTCTCGGCGAGGAGGTAACATGATCCACCTCTGAGATTCCTGCTAGCTCTAAAACACTGATGTTATTATTTCGTGCTCGCAGCCTCCTTGAGATAAGGATCCTTAGGACAAAAACGCTGACTGGCCCGTCCCTGTGCTGGGTGCTTTTACAGTCCTTATCTCTGTGATTCTTTACCCGAGACGGAGGAGGAGAGGCAACTGACCCCATGGGACAGATAAAGAAGCTGCAGCTCAGGGCGTTCAGTGACTGACCCACTGTCGCGCAGCCAGCACAGGGCAAAGGCAGAAGGACAGCCCAGGGCTTTCCGACTCCAGGGCACAGTGTCCTCTGCCCTTCCCTACCCTCCTCTTCCTCCTCCTCACCACTCCCAGACTCTGCCGTGAGTCTGGTGCACAGTCCGTGCACACAGGCCCCTGGGGGCTGGGGAAGGGGGCAGACCTGCGTTTCCGGGGGGGGCTCTGCCACGAAAGGGCGCTTACTTACTCCCCGACTTCTACCTCTGTGTCGCCTTAGCAGCTCCAGGGCCACAGGGAAGTCCCTGCCGATGTCCCCGGCCTCGAGTGGGGCTCCCTGGGTTGTTAAGGGTAATGGTGCGGGCTGCTTGCTGCCTGCATTGTGCCCCTAAGCTGGCACCCCTGTAGATGTGGGTAGAAACTGGGGTGAGGTGGGCAGACTGTGGGCTCTTTGGGAGTGGGGACAGGGGAGCACAGTCCCAGCACCGCCCAGACATCTGGGCAGCAGCAAAGAGAAACTGGGGGGCATGGGGCTTGGGGCTGGAAGCAGGGGTCTCCCGGTCAGTGAGGTGGTCTGGTGGGGGCAGTCGGGAGACTTGGCCGTGTGGTCTGCGGCCCTGGGGGCTGTGGCCCCGTGCCTTCCTTGTCCATGAAAGGGGGAAATGAAAGCTCCCCCGGTGGTGGGGGGTGGGTGCCAGGAGGGACAGGGGAGGAGGTAAGTAGGAAACAGACATGAAACAACCATGGCGAGGCACAGAGTGCGGGGCAAGCAGGATCCGACTTATCTTCCGTGTCTGAAAGGTCTCTTTTCCGGAAGGCCCTTCACCATGGGGTGACAGCAGAAAATGAAGTCACGTGGTTTCACGGAACTATCAGGAGTTGGTTTAGAAAAAAATCGCCAATGAGAGACATGACGTGTTCCGACAGTCTCTCCCTCTGCACGTGCTCCTCGGGAGACGGACACCGCCCGTGGAGAATGGGGGGGCCCCGTGTCAGTGCAGGTGGGCTCACGGGGCGCACGCGGGCCTTTCTGGGTCACGCTCTCTCCGTCACCACTGGCAGGCTGGGCGGTCCCCGGGAACCAAGGGAATGTCTCCCCTGGTCCCTCCGCCCTTCTCGTCCAGCTTACGTGCGGTTGCAGGGAACGCACGTGCTGGCCGCTTCCCCTTGGGCTGCACGGCGGGGGGTGGGCCGTGGAGTGGACTGGGCCCCGCACCGAGGGCACGAGCGACTACACCAGCGTCTCCCGATTCCTCCCAGCCCGGCAGTCCCGTCCGGAGGCGGCGTGCACAGAGGGGCCCCCACGACTTTGGGGCCCCCAAGAAAGCCCTCCTGTAGCGGGGACTTCTCCCATGTCGCAGGGTAGACTGTCCAGGGAGGACAGAAACTTGGGTGGCCCGATGTGTCCTTCCTGCCACTCAAAGGGCTGTGGGTGTGGAAACATCACCTTTGACGTTTAGAGATTATTGTAAGGGGCAAGCCCTGATTTCTCATCCTCCCAAATTGTGGGAAGAATTTTTAGTCAGCAGGCAATGCTCATTTGTTACCTAGCGTGTCTTCAGTTCCTTTCCATCCTCCCTCCCTCCCTTCTTTTTCCCCTCCTGCTTTCCCATCCTCCTTTTTCCTTCTTGTGGTTTTCTCCCCACTCTCTCCGTCTTTCCTCGTGTCCTTCCTTCCTTGGCTTCAGTGCCCATGTGTCCGGTCTGTGGCCTGGCACTGCGCTGGGCGCCCAGGACCCGGGGAGGGGGGTACCAGCCTGGACCCTGACTCCACAGAGCTCCCCTGCAGGGGGCGGCGCCTCCTCCCGACCTCGTTTCTGCGGCTTCCTGCCTGCCCCGCACCCCGAGCCGCCGCCGCCACACCCCACACCCGGAGTCCGAGAGCGTGGGGCCGTGCACTTACGGCGATGGAGAACCGCTGGATGCCGTCGTCCTCGCAGTCCTGGATGACCCGGCTCAGTCGGTGGTTGTCGTGAGACTCGCCATCAGTCACGATGACCATGACCTTTTTAACCCCTCTCCGGGCGCCCCGGGCTTCCGTGAAAGCCTCTTTCCTGAAACAGACAATGGAGAAGCCAATAAAGCATCATCCCCCCTGCATCCCCCCCCAGAACGGGAGGCAGGGCGAGGAACAGAGTAGGGGCACATGCCCAGGGAGCCCTGGGCTCTCCCTCCGAGGTCAACACTGACACCCGCGGTCCAGCCCGGGAGGCACGATGACCGCTACTTGCCCCAGTTTGAGGGTGATTCCAGAAGGCGGGGAGCTCCCCGTTGGCTAACCGCCACCTGTCCCAGGCTCACGGCAGGGAGGCCTCACTCCTGGGACCCTTGGAAGGGAGGGCGTGGCGGGAGCAGATCCCGGCCTTAGAGCAGGTGGGGTCCCACACACTCTCCCAGCCTCGCTCTCTAAATCCCCCTTCTCCTCCTCGACGGGCCTGTTTCTTCTGCTTCAGGCCACGGCCTGGGCTTCAGTCTTTCCCCCCGCCCCTGCCCCACACCTGCTCTGACAGGCGGAGAGCAGCTGGGCGACGCGCTGAGCGGGGAGGCGAGACGGGAGATAGAAGACCGTGTGTGCGGCTGTGCGTGCTGGGAGGTGCGCCCGGGGGCGGGAGGATGGAGGCGGGGACAGGGACGAAGGCTGCAGGTGGAGGAGGGAGGACCCCGTGGCAGGAGCGGGCGGTAGGGCCGAGGGGGGCGGGATGGGCAGCGAGAGATCTGCCGGGGGTCAGGGCGCAGGCCCCGGGGCGGGTGCACACAGGTGGCAGGAGAGGGAGGCAAGTGCGTCGCTGACAATGTCTGTGGGTCCTGTCGTCGACACACACACGTGCTCTCACACACCCTTTATCTCTCTCTCTCAACCACGTTCTTTTATTCGGCTCACTTTCCTCTCTCGGGGGTCTTGGAAGAAAAGAGCGTATTTTATTTAGGACTGAAATCATAAAAGGGTTTTTATAGAATGTTTTTCATATTTCGGTGTAGAAGGCAGCCGTCCTTGTACTGAGTGGTTCGTTTAAACACTCTGCCCTGGTCTTGAGGAGAAACAGGCTCAGTGTGGGGGGTGCCAAAGAAACCTGGCCCCCACGGCAGCCTCGCAGACGGCGTGCCCCACGCACAGCCTCCCCGCGGGCGCACGGCCTCCCCGCGGGCGCACAGTGTGGGCACAGCGGCGGCGGTCTCTGCTGAGCGGGGAGAGAGGAGCCCGGCGAGGGGAGCAGGGGGTTCACCTCTGATGACCTTCCCTGTCAAGGAGTGTGGCGGCTAGTACCATCCGTCTGGGTTCTGTCTGATGCATACATAACACTTTGCTGTACCTTTTTTTACGTTTTAAATTTTTTCCTAACATTTTCAAGAGAAAAAAACATATGAGAAAAATGTTGATCATGGGGAACCCTGTGTCTCGGCCCTCCATGCTACCCAAACAGACCTCCTTACACGCACCAGCAGAGGAGGAGACGGGTTAAAGGCTAGTATTCAAATGAAGTCCAATAGAAAGGTCACGAAATTCAGTCCTTTTTGCAGTTTCAATTCCTTAGAGGGTCGCCGAAACCTCCGGGTTCTCTTGAGGATCAAGGCCACACAGAGCAAACCTCAGCCAGCTGAGGGAGATGGTAAAGGGCCGTCCCTAGGGGGCTTGTCCCTAGGGGGCTTGTCCCTAGGGGGCTTGTCCCTAGGGGGCTTGTCCCTAGGGGGCGTGTCCCAGGGGGCGTGTCCCAGGGGGCGTGTCCCTAGGGGGCGTGTCCCCAGCGCGGGCTCCCGGTAATGTAGGGGTCGCTGCCGCCTGACTCCCGGTCTGCCCTTTCTGTTCCAGTTGTCTCCAGCACATTGCCTTGGACCCCCAAAGACCGTGATCTTTCCAGCGATCTTTGTTTACATGACACAGAGACCTCCTCTCAGGCTTTGCAACAGGAGAAACCTCCCGGGAGAATCCTTTCCTTTGGGATAAGAGAATCAAGTCCTCATGGTGAGGCATGCGGCCCTATTGAAAAGAAAGACTATTGGGGATAGGGGTCCAGGGACACGAAAATATTTTGAACTGGGAGATGGTGAAATGGGAAGTAAAGGATTCTAGAAAAATAAAAAAATAGTGTTTGACACTGGCCCTACCTGAGAGCAACGAACAGTCACCAGAAATGTGCTCACACGTGAAAAGCTAACGTGCAAGAAGACTACGCAGCCATATCACACGGCGTTTTAATTGTGTACAAAGGTCCACAGCCTCTGAGTCCCACCGCGGGTCCCGCGGAGGGACACGTGGGCAAAACCACCCGGGGACTGGCATGCGGGGCGGCATTTACGCAGGAGCGCACGCTGCCTGCCGGAATGCTCCGCCAGCGCGTCTCGCAGATGAATATTCATTCTTCGGCGGCTGCCTCTGGGAAAGGCCCCGCTCCCCGCGGGCTCGGAGCCTCCAAAGGGCGCTTTGATCGGCTCTGCGTGTGCGGTCACACGGAGTCGGCACCAGGAGGGGCGCGCTCAGCGCAGCGAGACGCGGGTGCACACGGGCGACCCTCCGGGCAGGTAAATGCAAATCACCCCGTCGGTTTGCAGTTATTTTCTCTCGGGCCCATGTAACTAGAACCACATGTTTTTCTACCGTGTAGGAGTCTGAAGCTGCACGTGAAATCAAGCATTTTTGAAGAGCCCACCCCTTCTTTGGAGGACCTATGTTGCCTGTTTTAAGCCCCTTAAAGCACGGGGCTCGTCTGGGAGGTGTAGGGAAGGCACAGGCGACCGGCTCTGGAGCGCTGAGCCACTTTACGGAAGCGCCCTCAACACGCTGAACTGTTTACGAGGCGAGCCGTGATTTGCATATTGTTTACTTTTCGTTCAGAAGCGTACTGGCTCCAACAGGGACCAAAGCGATCCACAGCAAGAGCTGAGAGCTGAATGAAATCAGAAAAAAAATGCGGAAAAAAAGAGGCTCCATTTCTGCACCACAAGGAAAGGACCTCCAGCCACTGGTGGCCACGCACCCTGCGGGGAGGGGACTGCAAAAGGGAGGGACGGAGGCGGCCTGGGGAAGGCCAGAAAGAAGACAGTGCGAGCATCGCAAGTGAAATCCTTTCCACTCCTTTCTGTCTTCGCACTGACAATGATTTCCAGTGAGGCAGTTTGGAATTCGGCCTTTTGAGAGCTCTTGTTTGAGATCCTTCATAACCCCCAATCAGGCACGCTAAAATTACAGACACACTAAAATATAAATATATATATTGAGTAGCTGTGGACTAACCATTTTTTTAAGATGAAAAATCCTAGAAGCTGAAAACAGAATGAAGGGAAAAGATAATCACTCATATTATGTCTTCATCCCCAAAAACATGATGCAGTAGAATACCATGATTTTTGACCGATTTCCCATCAAATAAACCCGTGGAATTACAGGAAAGATAATACGGTCTCACGGGGTGGTGAGACCATATTGTAGAAAAACTTGGTTCTTCAACCGTTAGCTAATTGGCTGAACCCAGCTTTACACAAGACGGCTTTAAATATTCCCGAGGTAAAGGCGCTACCCACGCGGCAGAGGGCTGCGTCGTGAGCAGCCGTTTCTGTGCAGACTTTGACTCCGGGCGGCCTTTTGAACACGCACCTGGCGGTGTCTATCCCGAGGGCTGTTTTGGTCTGGCGGCCGCCTCTCTGGACGATTTTGTTGGCGGCGACGAGTACTTCCTCCGTTGACGAGTAGGTGCTGAGGTTGAACTCGTGGGTGACGTTTTCTCCGTACTGCACGATTCCAACCTGAAACACCGAACCACTGTGAGTTACCGATCTAGCAACATATGCCCCGTTCCAAGTCTGATCGGCTTACACGTGCAGATCAGAGGTGAACACCTGAATCTCTCAGAGGAGTTTAAAGGTCTATGAGGACACAACTCCTGCCAGTGTGACAGCAGTGTAACTACTGGCGGACACTCGTGGCCTGAAGAACAAAAACACAAGTGCTGCTGCTAAACCCCTTGAATGGCCGGTTTATCCCTTCAGCCGTTTTTTGCTGCAGACCGTGGGGGCCGTGGGGTGGGGGCAGGGCACCCCGACGGGCTCTGCGCTCACGTTCACGGTGCTGCCAGACTGGAAGACAGAGACCCAGCACATGACCCTTCACATCCACGGAAAAGCTGTCGCCAGCAAGTACGACCGACCTAGGGCCCGAATTTAAAATAGGACTCAGGGAAGGGCGGGCAGAAGTGGTATTCCAGTGGAGACCTCGCTTGGTGCCAGGAGACCTGCCCTGGATGGTGGCTGAGGGGCAGGGGGAGGCCCTCGGGGGGGACTGTGCACGGGAAGGAGCGGAGGCCGGGAAGAGGGAGCACGCCCAGGAGCAGAAAGACGGCCCGTGAGCCCAGAGCAGGACATGCGGGCAGAGCGGGGTTTGAGCAGCCTGGCCGCGCCAGCAGGGTCATGGGGGGCGCGGGCGCACGCCTGCCGCATGCTGCCTGTGGCTTGGCCGTGGCCTCTCGCAGATCAGCCTTCTCCCATCCCCTTTTCTTGTTCTGTCTGCCCCCTCTCCCTGCCGCCTTCCTTCTTCCGCTCTTTCCCACAGATCTGATGATAGTACGGGCGGAGCCCCCACAGGGTCAGACGGTAAAGACAGTCCTGCACCCCCAGGTGTGATTCCCCCTGGGCCATAGCCCCCCCGCCCCCGCCCCAGAGACACCCATTTCTCTTATTCCTTTTCCACGCCCTTCTTCAAAGGCGGATGTGAAGCAGCCAACCAGTGTCATTAAGGGGAGTCCGGCAGGTGCGATGCTGTCTTTGTGCACGTGCATGTCCAGTGGAAATGCAAGTGGAATGGTTTCGTTCCTCAGACAACCGTCACGCCTGATCTGGGGTGCCAGGCAAGCACACGCTGCTGGGGGAGTGAACTGCTCATCCATCCAGGACGCCGCACAGAGCTGGGGTTGTTTCCCTTTCCTTTGCTTTCATGTGATCAGGCAGGAGGCCGCAGAACCCTGAGAACTGTCACTCTCGTCGTGACTCTTGGACATCCTACCGCTCGGGCGAACGCGCCGAACGCCCCAGTCTCTCGTTTCTCTGACTCCCTGAGCCTCGGTAATCTTTTCCTCCAGCTCACCTGGGTGCTCCCACTCCCAAGGTCGTGCCACTGACCTTGTCATCTGGAAAAGCCGCAGCACCTCAGTCTCAATGTCCAGTGTTCTCTCCCCCCTCTGACCATTGCCTTCAGCTACTCACCTCGTATGACCCATTCGCTCCTTGACCGCAGCAAGATTTCCACGTATTTTAGATCCTGCCATTTTTTTTTGTGCCCAGCCTAGACGCCATGGCCCGCCACCATAATCACTTACTTGCAAACGTTTAACTCTTTTAACCTTGTTTTCCCTCCATTAACTCACTTGGCTGACTTCCAACTGCGGCTCGGGCTCAGTATCCCCTTCGCTGCGCATGCTCCTGGGACACGCTGTCCCAGACCAACCCCCTACCACCTGTGGGCCAGCCTCACTTCCAGGTTCGGCCCGTGGACCTCAAGCCTGGCACTGCCCCGCAGTCCCACTACTATTTACTAACGACCGCACCGTGCTCTCACGTACTGAGTTCAATCAAATGCCAGCCATAGGCTGTGTCCTCCTCGGGGGGAGAGAGTGTCAGGCTCACACATGGGGAGGAGGTCACATGAGACGCGGGGGAAGTCACGCCAACCCCACGAGGCTGCTTTGCACCGTCTGCTTTCCACGGGTACTTTCTAGTCCTACAGAACGTATCACGAGTGACTAGGTCATCTGGCAAGTCGTCTTCGCCCCAGGAAGAGCGAAAACCGTGTAACACCTTGGTAAGCTGGCAGCCAGTGCTCCGTGTCTCATCCGCCTCCCTGCCTGTTCATCTGCCGTCTGTGTGACAGTTATCTCAGTCCCATCAGCTTCTTCTTTGTAAGTATTAAAGTGTAAGAGAACTCACGATGGCCCGTTCCCTCACCCTTTCTTTAGACGTGGCTTCTAGCCACTCTCCCTGAGGCTGTTTCCAATGAACGCCCTGGGGCCGCCAGAGCTGCTGTGCCCCCACGGCTCAAAGAGACAGAAGTGCCTGGAAGTTCGCCCCCTCCCCGCCCCGGCCCCGCCTCCCGGGCCATGCTGGGCGCCCCTTCCAGGTCAGGCTGCGCCTGGACCTCCCCTGCCGGCACGCCGGTCTCTGTGCTCTGGCGCCACCCGGCCGGCTGCCCCAGCTCCTTCCTACTTTCTCGTGGAAGCACTGCCGTGTCAAATTGCCATCGCTTGGCCCCTTCTCCCAGGGGTTGCTTCCAGCTTCCGTCTCCACCCCGTGCTTCCCCGTCAGTCCAGGCCGGACGTCACGGCCTTGACCCTGGACCCTGGCAGCGGCTGGTGTCTCCTCCGCTGACCTCGCTCTCGCCCTCGGTCACCCCTCTCTCTCCTCAGATCCTTCTACTCAGATGAACGGGAGATCGCCCGTCCTGAAGTTCTCTCATCACGTGACTTCTTTGTGCAAAAAAATGCCAACAGCTCCTCATTGCCTACACCAATGACTCTGAAGTACGCATTTAAAGAGAACTTTTATTCTATTGCAAATAGAGAACAGATCACCCTTCAAGCTGCCCCTTGAAATGCTGGGCCCGTGGATTAAACTTCAGTTTTCCTCCGGGACCTCAGTCACTTAGTGGTCTGCCCTGCCGCCGGCTCCACCCCCACTCCCACTGGCCTTGGGGTCTCCCAGCCGCACTCTCTCTGCACCACGTGCCCTCCCTACTCCCTCCAAGGGGGCGGGATTGCACCCGCTCTGTAAGGTTCTCGGTTCACTTCCTCTGCAGACGCTCCCCACTCAGTCGCCAGTGCAGCCCCTGCGATCCTCCCCCCGTCGTCCGAGCTCCGTGCCGACGTGCCCGTCCTGCCCCTGTGGGCGCCGCATCCTCCCCCACCGCTCTGCCCGCGTTCTCTCCCAACTGCATGGTGAGGACCGACGGGCAAAGGGCGGGGGCGAAGAGCGTGGGCTAGGTCACCGCGCTTGGTGTTCTCTTATCTCCTTCCACTGTTTTGCTTCGCTCTCAGTGGACCTCGGCGCATTCTTACGACATGACTGAAACATTTCTCCTACGCAAGTAGGAAGCGGAGCTGGGGGGGAGCAGTGATAAGCCGCACAAGGGAGACAGACACAGCGCAGCGTGGGAAATGAGAAGGGCGGGCAGACGCGGAAGCCCAAGTCTCAGGGAAATGGCATGTGCTGTGGCGGATCCCTGGCGGACCCCGCCTTCAGGGACCAGACCCAGGAAGGCCCCGCTGGGTCTGCCCCAGAAAAGGGCCCACTGGTCAATTCTAGGGCAGGAACGTGGCCCCAGGACAAAAGGAACACGCACGCCGCTTTGCTGACTGTTGGTGAAGCCCAGTGCAATACAAGTAGTTTCAGGCCCAGCGTGGTGTGTGGTTGAAGGCACGTGAAGTAGAGTCGCACCTGCAGAAGGTGTGTGTGCACACGGGCACCAGAATCAGTAAGCGTGAGGATTAAGTAACAGGACGCAAAGGGAACCAAGAGGCGGGCACATGTTGTGAGGGGGCAGGGAGACGGGGAAGCACAAGCATGTTCACTGCCCCACGTTGAAAGGCCCGTGGGGGAGGGAGGCTCCAGCTCCCTAACACCCAGATAAAGAGGAGAGAGCGGGGTTTAAGTGGGACAGGAGACATCAAAGTAGTCTGGAGCCTGGAAAACATGTCTGGATGATAAGGAATTTAAATCATTACGGAGATCGAGAAAAAGAAACCAACCAACTAGCATCACAGCTGACGCGAGGCAGCGCCTGGTCCTAGGAACGGGGGATGGGGGGTGGGGGGGGGGGGGGGGTTAAGTAGGGAGCTGTGAGGAGAGATGGGGGTGGAAAGTTCCAGGCACTTTTGCTGCATGGAAAGCAGGGTGGGAGCTCAGAGAAGCAACTGGAGTACTCGTGGGCTTTTTCTAGAAAGGGGAGAATGGAAAGAGTAGCTGAAGATGTCAGTAAAAGAGTGGGTGCAGACAGAGTAACAACAGACGCCTACAGGGGGTGACGGCCACCAGGAGAAGGAACAGTTCCTTTTCAGGGGCAAATGGAACGGATGCATTGGCCTGGGAGATGCACTTGGACTTCTTCTTCTTTTCTTTTTTAAACTAGTGATCTTATTTTTTTAAAGATTTTATTTATTTATTTTCAGAGAGGGAAGGGAGAGAGAGAGAGAGAGAGAAACATCAATGTGCAGTTGCTGGGGGCCGTGGCCTGCAACCCAGGCATGTGCCCTGACTGGGAATTGAACCCATGACACTTTGGTTCGCAGCCCATGCTCAATCCACTGAGCTACGCCAGCCAGCATTTGGACTTCTTGATCAGTAGAACAAAAGTCAACTCAATTACAATGCGAGGCCGATGAGACCTAAGAGCTCATTCAGGCTGTGGAATGGAGCAAGCTAAGGATTCTGTTACGTGAACAAGGGGTGGGTGCCATGTAACAGAACCTTCCACACAAACGTAAGATGTATAGTCCTTCTTCAGCTAACCCCCACACTAACGTGCCCTCTCTCCCTTTCCCTGGGAGCACAGGCACCGTTTCGTAGGTCACTAGGTGGGATGTAAACAAAAAAAGCATTCTGTGGGCCCGTGGCCCCGGAAGACAATGGGAAACGCCCATTAGACACACACCTTCACAGCGAGCTGCCCCCCCTGCTCACTGCCTCTGTCTCCGTCTCTCTTCTCGCCCCCTGCTGCTTCCACCGAGAAACAACCCCACAACTCTGAAACGGTGCAAAACAGC